GCTCTTGCCTTTCGTTCAGATCATTCTCCAACGGTGCCGTAGTAAATATTACTGTGGTAGCAGTCTACCTATCTCAAAACTTGGTGTTTGTAACGAAGCTATTTTAAAGATCTCTTGGGCATAGGTTGATCAAGTAAAATAATGAGCATATTCGGTTCCTCTACACCGATCGCACAGTGAATCTAGAGCCAGATCTGCAAACCCTGATCCAACGAATATCAAGCCGATAGCGCAAAAGGCACGGTCCAACACCCGCTCTATGGTACGGTACTGTGCACTATTATCCTCTGCGCATTCTATCAAATAATTTTCTTTTGAAAATCCAGGAGCCTTACTGCGGCTTGATCAAGGAAGAGCATATGCCGTCGGCGCCACAAGTGCAACCCATCTTGTTTTGCTATTAGCGGATTAGCCTCAGTTCCGAATGATGGAGAATACATGATATCAGATTCGGACCGGAGCACGTCAACACTAAGACCAGGGGGGATATCGCAAGACTTTAAGGACAAGGACGTGTGGGTATATGTGAAAACAGGCCGGGTAGTACTCGCTAACACTGCGATAACTCATTTACCAACTCCCCATAAAACATTCAAGTCAGACTCTTCAAACCTATTTTTTACTCTGTTCTAACTAGTGACCTTACTATGATCATCTAATCCCCTTAGAGCCACCTAGACCGAATTGCATTACTAGTTTTCGTTGTTCACCCCGGAGTCGGCATCTGTGCTTTCGGCCGGAGTTACCCCGGTCTCGGCGGAGCTCCGCAGACCCCGCGTTGCCAACCCCCCTCCTCTCACATAAGAAGACCATCCCCTCTTAATGTCGCCCAGCCAACGCCTCAAGACTCTGTCAAATCACCTCCAACGAGCCCTCAACATGAAACTCCTCTACCCAACCTCCCTCCACCTCGACACAAAGTCCCTGGAAGGCTTCTCCGTCGAATTACACCCCTACGATGTCACAGTCCCAATTCCCGAACCCCTCATCGACGCCGAGTTCCTCGTAACATGGAGCAACAAACCCACGAACCTCCGCGACGCAGCTTCCCGCATGAAGAATCTCCGCTGGATCCAGTCGCTAGCAGCCGGTCCCAATGACGTCCTCGGTGCAGGCTTCGATGCCTCCCGCATCACTATCACAACCGGTTCCGGTCTACACGACGAAACAGTCGCTGAACACACCCTTGGCCTGCTCCTCAATGCTGCCCGTCGCTTCTATGAGATGCGCGATTACCAGTCCCGCGGCGAGTGGCCCGGCCATCTGGGCGGCGCCCAGCCTGACCGTGCCCCGGGCACTTTCCGTACCCTCAAGGGTGCTAATATTACCATCTGGGGATTCGGAAATATTGCCAAGAACCTCGCCCCCGTGCTGACTGCGCTCGGGGCCAATGTTACCGGTGTTGCGCGGAGTACCGGTGTGCGAAATGGGTTCGAGGTTGTTGCAGAGGATCGCTTGCAAGAGATTCTGCCTAAGACAGATGCCCTTGTTATGATTCTGCCTGGTTCGGCCAGTACCAATGGTGCGCTTAATGCTGAACGCTTGGCGTTGCTGCCCAAGCACGCTTGGGTTGTGAATGTTGGCCGGGGTACTTCTGTTGATGAGGATGCCCTGCTTGAGGCGCTTGAGAAGGGTAGCATTGGTGGTGCCGCGTTGGATGTTTTCTCTGCTGAGCCCTTGCCGAAGGAGTCGAAGCTTTATGCTGCGCCTAACCTTATCCTCTCACCTCATGCTGCTGGTGGACGTCCCCGTGACGCTGAGGCGCTCATTGCGTATAACCTCAGACGGCTTCTTGCTGGACAGGAGCTGAAGAATATTATTTGAGCTTGGGATGAAGTGGCTGCGGACATTGCTTGTTTGATAGATTTATGAGTACATATATATACATGCATAGATGGAATAAAGGTTAGATGTCAATGTCTTACATATATTAGCCTAAGAGTATTTCGAGAGTCTATTGAATTATTGAATTGGCCCCCTGGGAAATTAACGGCGAGACTTCAACATCAAGCAATGGCATGGTGTCCATGAATATATTCTGTTGTACTAAACCGAGTTCTTCATCCTTGGACTGACCAAAATTTTAATAAATTGGCCACTGCTGGTTATTCATATGCTATTTTGGGTATTTGGAGCTTATTAATATTTCGTGACAGACGACCTTCCTCTTTGCTCGACCGTGCCAGAGAGGGTTTGCATATCACCTTATAGCTGTATAACTAGCTGTTCTAGGGCGTATACTGAGACATATTGTGCATTATGATAAGGCAATCATAATGAAAAGATCCGAATCTACAAAACAATCCAGTTAACGTCCACTGGTTTACACCTGGGCAGATATTCCCCATCTCCCGTCGAGGTCAGCACATGAAGATTCCCAATTTTTATCATCTTCTCCGGCTGCGAAGAGTCCCCACTACCGGCGGCCTTCAACAACAAACCATCCCATTGTCCAGGTCGGCACTGGAGATGAATAGCATAATACGTCCCATGGACCCCGTAGATCTCGGGGATAAGCTCTTTAATCCAGTACCGGAGATCCCCATGATACATGCTCCCTTGGGGTTGGAAGTGCTCCCGTTCAACAATATGTTCAGGCACCGGCATACTCAAATCGACTAAGCATGTCATGTACTTGATATCGCCGTAGTCGCTGTGGGATGAGAAGAGGATCTCCACTTCCGGTAGAAACACCGCCCCGTCGCCGCGGACCTCCCACGTCGAGACAGACGGATGGTGCGCCTTCTCCAAGCGCGGCGCACAAAGGCGTCGCGGCTCAGAGATCCGGGCCCGGAATGGGAGCATACTACCCCGGATTATATCTTGAGTCTTCACATCGTCGACGGGTGGGTAATCCGCCAGAACGGTGGTAATGAAGAAGCTAGAGCCTAGATTGTGCGCGACCTCCTGCACGAAGGCTAGCGGGTACTGGTCGAAGACGAAGCCTGGTTTGTTGGGCTGGCGCTGCTCCGGAATGGCAGTGGCGGATTTGTACCATTCTGTCATGCCGAGGACAGACATAATCGCCTGCGCACGGCTGTGGCTGCAGTGTCGGCTCGTCGCTAGGTAGAGGATCTGCTCGCGTTTGAGCTGGTGGAGGTTGTCCATTCCTGTGCGATGGAGGAGGTCGAGTACTTCATGGAAGCCTGGGTGAACGAGGGGCTTCCAGCGGTCTAGAAGCTGGTCTGCTGGGGTAGTTAGATCGTCAAATTCCGCAATGAGTGTGTCTTTTACTCTTTCGGCAAGGGAGACGAGCGTGTTGAAGGCGACGAGGGCCCCGTTGTCCCCTACCGTGAGGAGGTCGAGGTTCTTGTCGCAGATCCAGATGTCGGGGCGCAGGCACACTTCTTGCAGCGTCCACAGGGAGCTGAACCAGGGCAGGGTGGCCATGTCCGGTGAGAACAGCCCCGTGGCCTGGAGCTGATCAAGCGCTTTCCACGGCGGGATACGCACGGGAGACTCGTCTCCATCCGAGAACTGGAGGTCCAGATATACGGAGGACATCCACTGGATGGCGCTGCGCATGCCGTCCCAGGAATCCGGGGCGGAGTCGGTATTCCACCAAGCGATGGTGTGCTTAGCGCCCTTGAAGATGGATGCTTGGCTCGCAACCTCCGTCCACATGGCGTGCCGCAGCTGTTCGTCAAGCTCCTCCCCGCACCCCTCCTGTGGAATGCAAACCAGATCAAACCAGATATAGGGTGTATCCGTGGGAATCTGCGCCAGGATATCCGGTAGTCGCTCAACATCGAACAGTGAGTTCCGCGGGATCAGCCACGGAACGCGCGGTTTCATGTTAACCCCAGGCTGATCGCGCTGCCGCCACCGGCCCCAGGTGTGACTGACGGCTGTGTACGGGATGTCGAAATCATATTCGTCCCACAGAGAAACGACCTCCACAGTCCTCCGCTCTTTCACATCCCACAAGTAAAGCGGGAACCCGCGGATATCTCCCAGCCAGGGGCAGGAGTCGATACTGGAGCCGGCGCTGCAACGAGGATCAAGCCCGGGTAGGTCGCTGCTCCCCAGGACCCGTCTCCCTGCGCGCCAGACCGGGGAACTCTCTGACCGGTGAGCGAGATAACTCTCGCCATCTGGGGAGTATGGTACTTGAGCTGGCTGTTGGGTGTCGTTTCGCGGGGAGCAAGCTTCAATCGCAATGGTTAGACAAGCAGCTTCCTGCGCCAAGTCCCGTCGGAGGCTCACCAGCTCGTCGCCGCTTCGGTGTCTTATAAAGTTCTCGAATTCAGCGTTGAACAGCGTTGCCATACACTTGTTATAGACGCAGTTGAAGCGGAATTTGTACCAGATCCCACCGGCCTGGTGGATTGTCTCGTGCTCTCCCTGGGTTTGTGGGTAGAAGTGAGACTCGTCGTCGCCAAAGAGGTCGTCGTAATCATCATCGTATTCTTCTTCTGCTTCGTCCACAATACATCCTCGGGAACACGCCGCCCACCATTTCCAGAGAATGTGAAACGATCGTTCCTGCCCCGGGGTAAGATGTTGTCGCAGTATTTCAGCACGATCATCATTGAACGCCGTGATGACCGTGCCGTCAGGGCTTTTTACACTGTTGACCACGCCCTGCTCCAGAGCCAGTCGATACATGATCGAGAAACACCTGCTGTACCCGTCTCCGATGCCCATGTCCTCGCCGTAGACCACCTGCATCAACGTGGCGAGGGGGTATCCCTTGTCCCTCTCGGCGCTGGGCACGGGCACCCAGTCATCGGGGCTCATGATGTTATGTGGGCTGTTCTGTCGAATATAAGTGTAAATAATAGCAAGACGCGGTTAGTGGTGTTTATTCGTAGAGACGAGCGACGAGGTCAGAAGCGGGGTTATATATTAGAAAACTAAGCGAACATGCTGGTCTGCTATTGGCTGTGCTTCTATTAGTACGAGATCAGATTTATTGATGCAGATGGAACGAATATAAGAAAGAAAAAAAAGGCTAATTCTCAGTTGCACTCAGGACATCACTGCAGCCAAACCAACGACTACCGTCTCACCAGCCGTTCCAAACAGTCTTTCCCTTCCTGTTGCCGCGCATGATACGTCGCAACAAGACTAACTTTCACCGTCTCAGCCCCATGCCTCTTCTCCCCAAAAAGAATCTCCGGCTGATCAGCCAGATAATCCGCGATCTTAGATTCTGTGCTCGTGTCCCGTCCAAACGACGTGTAGCGGACAATATGCATCGTCATGACAATGTATAGTTGGTAGCAGGTCCACGCGTACTGAACCAGCGGCGGCATCCAGAGAGTCGAGGCCAGCAATCCTAGCGGAAATAGAGCAGCGAAAAGCGCTATAATGCACATCTGCAGAATCTCCCGGGTTCGGTTCCGGACTGGGTGGCCATAGTGCCGGAAGAACTGCTGCACGAGAGCTGAGAGACCTGTGAACAGCATGAGGTCGCTGCCTTGTGATTGGGGGAAGTGCAGGACGAAATCACGAGGTGATTCGGTTTCGCTGGTCGACGTGATTGATGTCGATGAGATGGAGGAGGAGATAGGGGTGAGGGGCTCACGGTCGAGGGCGAAGAAGGCGCTCACGAGGCGGAGGAGCAGCGGGGCTAGCCAGATGAGACACCAGAGTGATCGGCCGATGGCGTAGATGACGGCAAAGATGATGATGCCGGAAATCTCGGCGATGAAGATGCTGAGGTAAACGTGCCAGCCTGGTCGGCCGCAGTTCTCGCGCACAAACGCCATCTGCGAGGCTTTATCTTCTGCCGTTGCTGGAGTGAAGATGAGGTGGTAGACGGCGACTTTCGCCCGCAAGGGGATGTGGCCATTGCCGGAGGGTGGGGGGATACCTTTCTCGATGGCATCGCCCGTGGCTGTAGGGGATAGCTCTGCTAGTGATATAGAGGCGGGCAGAGGCATATAATGAAGAGCTCGCGCCCACATGCAGTTACGGGCTGCGCGGGGCTCGGAACTAGCAGTACCGGGAATGGTGTAGGTCCAGTCCGTTTGCTCAAAGAACGAAGTGCCCAGCATGTGGCCTTCGTGGGCACCCTTCAAGAGACCTCGGGCGTTGGCGATATCGAAGGTGCTCAGGGCGGCTTTGTGCAAAGGACCACCCATAGGCATCAGGATAGCCAGGGTTGGGATGGATCGAAGTGTAAAATGGGAAAATGATCGCTGGGGCCATAATAACGACTCAAACCAGATGTCGGTGGCTGCCTCTGCTCCGATATAACCAAGCACCGCACCAAAGGCGCCAAAAACCCCGCCTTGGTCGGACATATCGCCAAGCGAGATGATCTCTGGTAGCAAAGGGTTGTGGTCAGATCGAACTCACTCTTTTTGCCCAGATGGCCGGATCTATCATGGTAATAATCAGACCTGATAATATGGCCGAGTTTTGAGTTGGTCGGGTGAGCTGGTTAGTTGGTGAGCGGGTCAGCGTTGTTAGGCTGATCTAGGCTTACATGGGGATTCAGCCGCAAAATGGGGTTGTCAAAAAATCCAGTTGGGCAAGGGTCATTCCATGATGGCTATGATGCTTTAGAAGTGTTCTTGTAGAATCTCCCGATATATCACGTCCATTAAATCGGGACATGATAGTAAACCAGTCAATATCATCCATGGGTATCGGTTTGGTTCAGGTCCAAAAGCTTGCCAAGACGGGACTAGCTCTAGCAGGAAGCCCACTTCATAATGTAAGCCCCAAGCGAGTCCACTTGCCCAGGTGGGGGAATTGATACCTGTCAGAATCTATGCCACCTAACGTAATTAACCACCGCGCGACGCACACCGCCGACTGTCAGGCCCCAAGGCTCCAACTACTCTGGTGCCTCAGGCATTGACCCCGGGTGAATATATATGTTTTTTGTTTTTGGCAGGAAAGAAAAGTAAACAGAACATGGCTGACCAAAAGCAAGCGGATCACTCTTGCAGTTATGGGGAGCTTGAATACATTTCTTTTCTGACCGTGGTCAGAGAAAGATATCAAAAAGCTTTAAACGTATAAGTAATTTCTGGCCGCCGTTGGAAATAGTGGCAGAAGGGATAATCCGCATAGCTAGTGCAAGTCACCCCCCCGCATTGTACCTCTCAAAACTTGGCAACCCCAGAAAGAGGCCGGGGTTGGCTCAGTAGCCAAGCATTTGGACTGTAAGCAGCATGTACAACTGTCCAGAGATTGCCTATTAGTTCATATGTTATTAATTGAATAGAGTTAAAGAACTAAAAATTACCTCGCTAACCTCATAATCCTCGTATCTGCATCGTGCATAGAGTATTCACATCAAATATCCCTGTCCTTCCCTCCTCCATCTGTTCATCCTTCATGTAGTCCCTGTACTTATCCTTCTCACCTCCTTCTTTGGCTTTCCTTGTGCTGGGGTCCATGGACCCTTTTAGTTTTCGATTCTAATATCTAATTGCGTCATAATTAGATACTACATACGCCACTAATCTATTTTGGGCGCCGGCCTAGTGGCAATGATCATGACGTTCTACGATACGGGTCAGACTATATTGCCCGGTTCAAACCCACATAGTTATTTCTTGCCGAGCATGCTCTACGCGAACTGATACAGCGTGAAGAAACGTTACACTATAGGGCTATAGCCTTACAAAAGGCCATGGCTATCGTGCCTAATAGCGCCCAGCTTGAAAAGATAAATTAACAGCTCGAAGAGGCCCAAGCGCAATATCCAAGGAAGGCATACGCCCTTTACCGAGCGGAGTCTATGCTTCGATTGGAGTTTAAAGAAGCGTATGATAGCTTAAGGCGTGATGTTAGATGGTTTATGCGCGAAGAAATGGTTCAGGATTGTTCAGATCGAGGCGGATGTTGTAGCCGGGAATGTGGATGCTGTGAACGGAGGCATCTTTCTAAAAGGAAAGGTAAAGGCCATTGCACGATAGAGTGCCGGTGTTGTATCAGCTTTCAAGGCTTCGAGCTTCCCGAGGAAGAGAAAGTGGAGATAAACAAAGATTTGGAAACTAGGCTTCAAACGTGGGGTTTGGCCTATGCTATACATTTGGCAAATTGCTTTTTTTGCCCATTAAAGCCCCAGGCGTCCCGGCGGCAACAAATATTTGGACGGGGTTTCACCTATAAGAAGGACTCATAAAATTGTCTGGCTCTACTTTGCTTGAGAATCAATATAATGGATTCTTTTTACTACGTAAATACGTTATATAGCATAAGGAGTGGAACAATTTAGGTAGCGCTGGGGCCGCAACGTGACCATGTATGTGCGGTTTTACATCATCGACGAGTCTCCAGACATCTCGAAGCTGGTTGTTTAGAAGCAAGTAGGGGCCAGGTAACACTTCTCTACCAGTTCCAGCTGAGGACTTATACTCAATCCACTTGTTGCCGAGTTTCGAAAGATACATGCGAGCCTGGTCCGTGATTTCAGCCTCATCCTCGCGGATGCCATAAAAGAGAACCCCGACCAGGAAAGCTTCATGAAACACGTCGTCGGTACTCTTGTAATTCTCCACGGTTTTGCGAACTCACTCCTCTGTTATCATTGTTTCTGCTGGCCCCGAAACAGCGAAAACGGTGACAAGGTTAATCTATTGGGCGCTAATCAAACTAATATCCTTTAGGCAATCTTAGATCAGCCACCTACTATAAGAATTGATTGCGCACGATATACGTATTATCTAAAGAGGAAATCATATATCGAAAACCATCTATAGCGAATACTGTCTCGCCCGAGCTTGGACATTTCTTGATCTGCGATATGGTCGCAATTGTTTTGGCGAATAGCTAGAACTCCAATGCCCAAAAAAGATAACTCAGAGTAAGTGCAAATAGCTTTTTGGGTCTAGCTTCTCCGGGGATGTTGGCTTTATATCCCAAAAAAAGGTAAGACGCTAATCTTTCTAAGTACGGGGTAGGGCGAGATATGAAATTCAGCCTACCGGCGGCGCAGCTATGCATTCCGTAGGAGTTCAGAATGATTGACATGTAGGAATTACATAGCGAGTTATCATGCATGATGCCGAGTTAGCGGTCACGCTGAACCCCCAATTCTATGTTAATTAATTAAGGACTATGTGGGATTTTCAACAGAACACACTAGGACTTAAGAGTCAAAAGAGAAGTTGATCAAAATCAATTTGATATAAACAAAGATGGTGAGACTATATACTATTCAATATATGCAAAATAAACTCAAAAGAACCCCCATTTTCAAACGCCATGCCATAAATCAATGCCGTCGTTTCTTTGCTATTCACATCCGGGATTTACTCGGGGCACAGCAAGAAGAAGGGAACGCATTCTTCGACTGGGTATCAACACAGATAGCCGAAGGAGGAACCCAGAGACCAGGGTTCTTCTCAAAGAAATTGGAGGCACGCAGCATAATGCTAACTGGCTCGGCAGGCATGATGGGGAAGTCCTCGGTACGTGGGAAATGTGTCAGGCCGAACTGCAAGTAACAGACGATGTCGGTGTTCTCGATGTTCTCATCGCGCTTCGCCCAGTCGGCAATAGTCGAGTTGTAAGGGTGTCCCTCAGAGCCATCAGATTGACAGACGTAGTCACCAGCCGGGAAGAGCTCGTAGTCCTTGTAAGGAGTGACCCAGAGGGGCTTGCGGGCAAAGGCGGCACGCTTCCAGACGGTGCTGCCTGGCTTGGCGAGCATAGGGGGGCAGTTGTTGTTAAGGATCTTGTAGGCCACGGGCTTTTTGGCGATGGCGTTCATGCGGTTCGGGTTGATGATGTCCCATGAGCGGTTGGTCTCGTAGCAGTAGTCTGCGGCACCCTCGAGTGATGTGCGGAGTGGGGTCTTCTTGCTGTAGAATCCGTTGCCGTAGGGGTTCTCTGGGGAGCCGACGGCGGCTTCGGCGGAGACCGCATCATTTTGGATAACGGAGTTGTTTTGGCCGTCGATTTCAGGGTCGATGCGGAGAGAGAACAGGTGCTGGTGGTTGTGGGCATTGATAGAAGGGGCGACTTCAGTGCCGTAGGGAGCAGCGGTTTCGGTTGGGTGCATGCAGTAGGTGTTCAGCATACCGGTCAGCTTCACCTCTAGCTTGTAGGTTCCGTCGAGGGTGAAGGTGTGATAGAAGCCGTATTCGTAGTTGGCGGCGGTGATAATTTGGGAGACGATGAGCTTTCGGTCGCGGGCGGAGATCACTGTGCCGTCACGGTAGTCGGTGTGCTTATAGAGGAGGCCGTTGTCTTCCTCGTGAATGCAGATAGCGTTCTTGATGACGGCTGCCTCGCCCTTGGACGTAGACATGACACCATCCATGTAGTGAATGGCACCCTTGCAATCACAACCCAGCTTCAGGGAGTTGGTCATCAGACCAGTGCCGTATTCGCCGACATCGAAAGCATGCTTCTTGTGATGGGGCTTCTCGGGGCAGCCATAGGGAACAACCATCTCAACGACGGAGATACGGTTGAAGAGGGTGCGCTCGCGATCTTCGTACATGTCGTGGGTGCGCACATCGGAAATGACAATACCTTCACGGTAGTTGAAGCCAATGTGCATCTTGAAGTTGGCCCAGGTCAACTCATTGCCGCGGACCTTGAAAGAGACACCCTCGGGCTGGGTAATATCGATGGGCTTGAGGCGGTCGTGTTTGTACTTGTCGCCAATGAATTCGGGGAGGTAGTTGTGTTCCTTGAGAGGGGCAGCAGTCCGCTCGCCATTAACGTAACGAATGTCGACGCTGAGGACCTCTTCCGTGTCAGTGTCGGCGACAACACTGAAATCCAGAGGGTGGGCGTATTGGTTATCGAACTCAGAGTTACGGTAGTAAGCCAGACCCTGCTGGAGGCGGTGGTCGTATCCCCAGCGTTCGTCGATGCCGATAGCCCATGCGTCCAAGAAGACCTTGCTCATGTCGGTGATTCCAATATCTTTGCAGGCACGGATGACGCGGGGGTCCTTGCGCGCAACACGCTCCATCACATCAAGATCCTCTAGGGTGAGGGTAGGCATCACGTCGTGAACGTCCTTCCATTCCTCAACCTTGCCAGTGGCGAGATTGGCCACCACCTCTGCGACTTTGTTGGTTCCCCCGATAATGACAATGGCGAAGGCACGACGGGCAGGAGCTGGAACAGTGCCAGCACGGAATGCCCGGTATTCCTCTTTGCGGGGTTCACGGAGTGTGAGGCAGTTGAACTTGATGGACTTTGGGCTGGCATAATCCCGGATGATCTTTGCCGCCTCTGGAATTTCCTTGATTGAAAGCTGATCTAGGGTTTGGAGTTAGTAGTACTCTCGGGGTTTATTTAGAGGCATTTCATACCTAACGGATGAGGGGTGCCTTGTGGCAACATGGCTGCGGCAGCAACACTTTCATAATCCCCCTCACGGAAAATTGTATAGCCAGGAATTGACTCGGTATCCGGGGCAGACGCCATGATGAAGATGTGTAAGGGGTATCAAGGGGGAAGAGAGAGAGAGTTGTGAAGTTGTAGAAAACCAAAATTTCCATCCCAAAGCTACGATACACCTTATATAGATAATGGACCTTGAATATCTAATCGACCTCCGCGCATGTACCTTCCTGTTCGGGTAATCAGGATCTGGAACTACAACATAAGCTACTCGGACAGAGTAAGCGAGTGCTCCCGAAAGTGGATTCTCTCGTCGTTACTCAATTTGGGATAAAATCTGGAGAAGATGGGTCTTTGTACAGCATTTGTCTAACGATTTGATTCTATGTCATAATATCTTTTGCGTAAGGCGTTTGCCATCGAAATTCATCCAGCCAATTACATTGCAACGGCTCGGAAAGACGTGTTAGCTACAGTCATCTGCTAGTGGTCGGCCTAATAAGGCAAGTCTTGTAAGAAAGACTGTGCATCTATGCTAGGCAAGACCTGCCCTAATTTGACAATATCTGATCTAATAGACGAATGGGGGGATACTGCGGCTGTGCAGGGTTGGGGATGCCAAGACGTTAAATCAAGCTTATTTCCACATGGATGCGATGTAAACCCCCAGAGCCCTGGAGCCCCTGGGTAGTCCATTGAGGTAGTTCTATCACTAACTTATCGCCATTAATGTTTACGAAAAATGAGAGATATTCAAATCACATCTTTAAACAGAAAAGCAATTCATTTCAGATTACCATTAACCCAAACGATGCGATAGCCCGTGGGTGGACTTGCCCGTTTTGGGTTAGCGGCTCGGCTTATCAACGGCGATTTCGGCCTGTCTCAAGTCAAATCCACTACGGAGTACAGTCCACTTCAACTTCGTCCCGTTTTTAGCTTCAAAAATCCGGAGGTTGATCTCTATCGTGTGGGGTCGATCCCTGGCCCATGATGTATCCGATAAGCTGCCTGGAATGGCATGTCCAGCCGAAGCATTCGTTGCAATTTCCATAGCTGAGCTTCTCAGGTTTAAGAACTAGTTACAAATTCATCTCATCTTGCTTCACTATCTTCTCTTACTCAGAGGAGACTCATAATAAAAAGTACTTACAACCATGACCGATTTATCCGTTCAGCTCACTGCCCCTAACGGCCACACTTGGACCCAGCCCACCGGCTTGTTCATCAATAACCAATGGGTCAAGTGTTCGACTGGCGAGAAGATTGCTAGCATCAACCCCACGTGCGTGAAAAATTGAAGACTAATCTTTCACGTCTTGAGGTCATAACTAACTGGTGTTCGAAATAGAACCGCAAAGGAAATCACATCAATCCACGCAGCTTCCGCCGACGATGTCGACAAGGCCGTCAAAGCAGCTCGAGCTGCTTTGAATAATCCATGTTGGCGCGACCTGCCCGGCATTGACCGCGGCAAGCTGATGAACCGCCTGGCCCAGCTCATCGAGGACAACCGCGCCACGCTCGCCACTATTGAAACAATCGACAACGGAAAGCCATATTCCGTTTCCTTCAATGACGACCTCACCGAGACCGCTGAAACAATCCGTTACTACGGTGGATACGCCGATAAGGTGTTTGGCCAGGTTATTGATACAACCCCGGATAAATTTGCCTACACTGTGCGGGAGCCCGTTGGTGTCTGTGGTCAAATTATCCCGTAAGTCACGAAGATCTGCGATTAAGCATCGTCGAAATCGGTTGCTAACTATGACACTAAAGATGGAACTTCCCCCTTGCTATGGCCGCCTGGAAGCTCGGCCCAGCCCTCGCCTGCGGAAACACAGTCGTCCTCAAGCCAGCGGAGCAAACCCCTCTCTCAATCCTCTTCCTTGCCAACCTGATTGTGGAGGCAGGCTTCCCCCCGGCGTGGTTAATATTGTGAACGGACACGGTGCCATCGCTGGAGCCGCACTTGCCTCACACATGGACGTGGATAAAATCGCATTCACAGGCAGCACCGCGACAGCCAAGCAGATTATGAAGATGGCCAGCGTGAACTTGAAGAATATCACCCTAGAGACAGGTGGCAAGAGCCCGCTGATTGTGTTCAACGATGCGGATCTCGAGCAGGCCGTTGAGTGGGCGCATATCGGTATCATGTACAACCAGGGCCAGATCTGTACGGCCACATCCCGAATTCTGGTACAGGACGAGATCTACGACCGTTTCTTGGAGGCATTCAAAGCTCAGGTGAAGAATGTCTCTAAGGTCGGTGATCCGTTTGAGGAGTCGACCTTCCAGGGCCCGCAAGTGACGCAGGCTCAGTATGACCGCATCATGTCTTATATTGACGTTGGTAAGTCTGAGAAGGCCACTCTGGTTGCTGGTGGCAAGCCTTTCACTGGCGTTGGTGATGGCAAGGGTTTCTTCGTTGAACCTACTATTTTCACTGATGTTACGCCCAAGATGCGTATCTATCAAGAGGAGGTCTTCGGTCCTTTCGTGGTGATTGCCCGATTTAGCGAGGAGAAGGATGCTATTGAGATGGCCAATGACTCCACTTATGGCCTTGGAAGTGCTCTGTTCACGACAAATTTGACTCGCGCGCATCGCGTGGCTAAGAAGATTGAGGCTGGTATGGTCTGGATCAACTCTAGTAATGATAGCGATTGGCGCATTCCATTCGGTGGCGTGAAGCAATCCGGTATTGGTCGGGAACTTGGAGAGGCTGGCCTTGCTGCTTACTCAAATATTAAGGCTATTCATGTGAACATGAAGTCTAAGCTTTGAGAGACATGGTTCAAAGACCGTTTTAATCTACGAGGAGATATTATATTGTACATAGCAAAATTGAAATCCAAAGGGGCATCTCAAATTCCTTGTCATGATACTGGGATATTAAGCATTTCCGGTTGTGAAGATTCGGTGTTGACAAGTAGATAAAATGAAGATTTATGACCGACCCTTCCTGCATATCAAATATGAAAAGGGAGAAGGGCAAGCCCCATGAAGCTCACTGCTCAGTATTTTACCCCAACTGACTCCCATGATTCAGCCTGCTTCGATCTAGCCTCCTTCCCTTCTGCATCATCATTCTTGCCTGCATGTTCTGCAATGTATCCATTATCCACCACCATCTCCTCCAAGTTCCGAAGGTCAAGGTCCATCTGCGCTAGAGTTTCCAAAACTCCCTCGTAAACATCAACAAGAGCCTTTGAGTTTTCCAAGCGGAGTTTCTCAGGACCCTCCAGCACAGAGTTATGCCACTCAATGTCATCAAACGGATCGTGTGTAGAGGTTGCATGTCCTGGAATTGGGCGTTTCACCTCGGGGTGCTTCGAGATCGGGGCTTTCTTCACGCGTTTGTCTACTTTAGATCTCACGGGAGCTACGGGGGCTTTCCGTTTCTGACTGGGGTTCAATTTCATAGCTGGACCACTAAAGCGTGGGGGAGCAAGTCTGGAAACTATTGGTTTGACGGAAGGGGCAGCTCTAACGGTAGTATCCAAAGCAGAGGTAGATGGAGCCTTGCTGGCTTCCATAGTGATTTTGGTATCCCAGGTCTTTGGCGATGAATTCGGAGGCTGACAGTCACGCACCTCCTCCATCATTCTCGTCATCCAGGACATTGGGTAAATGATTCTATGAAGAAGGAGCCCTTAGAAGTATGAATTGAAAGATAGATTATCTGTGAAAAGAAGGAAGGGGGTATAAATTTAGTTAGATATACCAATGCAGGTCATACGTAATGTTAGATATCTGTAGGAGCAAACGCCTCTGGCTTTCAACGATGGGCTTTATCTTCACAGCCAAAATTGACAGGACTATTAATCAACTAGATCATGGCGATATTGTTTCAACTCGATGTATTTACTATATGAAAATACAAATTATATGGCTAACTACCTACCCATAATACTATGAGCCAATTCTAGGTTACAAATTAATCCAGGTAAGGAAGGCAAGTGGAATATCTATCAAGAGTGTTGTTTATAGATGGAACAATAAACTGTTTATATGTGTCTTTCTCAATTTGCTTAAAAGGAGCATCCAAACGGGCCCAATCGGGCCATACCTGGAATCCAGTGTGGGTCAAGGCGGGGCTGTACATAATTCTCACTCCCTCTTTCATCACCTGCTATATATATACCTTAAGTTTTTAATTCGTCCATGTTGAAATTTGATTTCTCCTTAGATAGCTCTACCGGGCCATCCATGGATCCATCGAGTACTTGATTGATAAGCATTTGTCTAAACTAAATGAATGTTATTTTATATACACCTAGCATTCTCGTCTATATATATCACCTTAAGATCCAAGCACGATCCAAGCACCATTGCAAATTTGGATAAAAATCTCGACCAACTTCAGCCAAGTAACATCTCATCGATCTTCCTTTTTTGGGTCGGGCAGCGGATCATTTGGAATAGCATGGGCTTGAATAACATGAGGAATCGACTCCTCGGTGTTGAGATAGGTGCGACTACCCTGGATGAACCAGAATGACACAGCAATAATCAGCATGACTCCGAACACACCAATGGCGTAATTCATATCACCACCTGACGGGTTGGGCGCGCTAGGGAAGAAAAAAAAGACGGTTGTCACACAGCAATAAACAAGGGACACCCAGTTTACCGGTTTACCCAGTCTCCCAAGTTTGAACTGACCACCAGGCGGGAGCTTGTCGCGACCCATCAGGAGAAGAGTCATGATAGGGAGGCCATATGAGATGGTCAGGGCGATGGTGCTGACGCTGAGGATTGCGTTCAGCACTGTCTCTGCGAATAGGAACAAAACTCCAACCAGTGCTATGATAGCCCCCTGGAACCAGAGTGCCCTGACGGGAGCTTTCCAGTAAGGGCTCACTTCCGATAGGTAGGTACTAAAGGGAAGTCCACCGTCGCGAGCAAAGCCCCAGGTCAGGCGGGATGCGGTAGTGACGATGCTGATTCCCTGGCCTAGGCCGTTCGTGATGAACAGAGCAATCAGCACTGCACCGCCGATCTGGCCCACCGTTTCTTGCACGAGTTCCATGAACGGTAGGCCGCTAGGCGAGTCTACCACGGTATTCACTTTTTGAATACAGAAGAGGCAGACCATCATCAAGATGAAACCGCTCACTGCTCCGGAGATAACAGCGAGGTAGATCACTTTCGGGGCGTTTTTTCGGGGTGCAGGGATCTCTTCCACCAAGTGAATAACGGCATCAAAAGCAGTCAATCCATATGCAGCCTGTACGAGACCAATAAACCAGACAACACCATCGGGCCAACCGGTTTGGTTGATCCACTTTCCAAAGGCGAAAGAGGCGGGCTGGTAAGAGAGACCTTCTTTCGTTCCCACTGAAATAAGCAAGGCGAGGCAAAAGACAAAAAATAGTCCAAAGAACCAGATTCCGACAAAGTTGTTCAGCCACGGTAGGAATTTCTCTTTCCGACAACCCATCACATTGATTAGTGTGAGGGCAAAAACGCAGGCAATATAAACCACGAATTCAAGCCACCCCTTCGATGCACCAGTCCAGGCTGGACTGAACATGACCTTCATACCTAGAAGGAAATTGGTCATGAACGCAACCTGGGAGGCGGCCAGTGTCCACCACCCAAAAACATTGATCCAGGCACACATGTAGGAGAGGAACCGTCCAAAGCGTGAGTCCCAAAGACGGTAGACCCAATACGCCTGTCCGAGGGCTGTGGGCATGCTGCTACAGATCTCACCCAGCGAGAGAGCAACACAGGTGTTGCAGAATGTTACAAGAGTCAGTCCCCATAAGATCGAGACAGGACCGCCGTTGATCAGGCCGTCGGAGAGATCTTGTGCAAAGGTCGACCATGTTCCCAGCACGCAGAATGCTAACGCTAGCATGCTCCAGATGTTGAACTTGCGGGCGAGGACTTCCTCATGGCCTAATTCGGCGAGATCTTTGGCATCTTGTGTTGTTTGGTCGGTTGGCTTGAGGGTTGCTTCAGTTTCCACGTCCATAGTGAGAGATGGGAGGGTTGAGAACGGGAACAAAAGAGTGATCAGTCACTCTAAGGTCATTCCCGGACAAGGTAATTGATGTTTTCCGTGAAAGCGAAGCAGTTATCTCCTGGGTGTATACTGTATGCTCCTTCTGAGGACGGTATATTAGATCCAAAGAATGGGGTCACTAGAGCAGTTTGAGGAACTGGATATCCCGCATCCCCATTATTCACGAGATCCGGGGGGTTGTCATTTTTTCCCGGGGAACCCCATGAGAATCGGCCTCTGTAGCCATAGAGAGGGAAATGTCCACTGGATATTCACCGAGCGTGGCCCACATGGTAAATCCAAAACTTGGAAGCATTCTACACAATTAGGGGACACAGCACAGAGGGCTGTGTAGAGCTCCAGTTTTTTTTTTCTCTGTACCCCACATCCCACGAAGGCTGAAAATTCCCTCTCTGGAAGGTACACGCGGGTTTCTATGGGTACTCCGTAGTGTCGATGATATCAATGGTATTTGGAGATCTGATGGATATCCCACTCGAGAGATTGCTGGGGAATTTGATGCCTAATTCTGTGACACACAGCAGACTGGGTTTTACTGGGTCGTGCGGAAGACTACTGAGGAGTACCCTGGTGTATAGCGTCCAGGGATCGTTTCACTAGATTAATGCCTGAAAGCCTGATTTTGGCTTGGCAGAGAAATAAAGATACCTGAAATACCGTTATCGACCTCCTACTAAGCAATGTACCCTGGTTCTATTGGCCTTAGGCAGGAAAATTAATCTAGCGAAACGATCCCTGGACGCTACACCTGGGTAGCACGCAGCGCCAAGATTGAATAGGGGCCGATGCGATACCTATTAGATTTAGTGCAATTATGTACGTTTTGCAGGTCTACTTCGTAGCAACACATCCGAACACCATTTACGAGGAGTTTCCACCCAAAGGCCAGATAAACCGTGCTTAGTCTTGGGGCTGCTGCTCTGTTTGGTTTATAATGCCCCACTGTAATTTGGGGTTGATCTCTGGGGTAGCTCCACTCAACCCCGGAATATCCCTACACTCCTCGGTTGCAGCCTCCTAGTGTGTTATCTGTCTGATTAATGGTATAAGAGGAGTCAGCTGAATTACTTATATGACCTCGTGATATTTTGGTGGTCTCTTGAGATGTCTTTCGTCCTCGAGATGTTAATATGTAACTAGTAGCAAAAGTGTTGCGACCTGCCCCTGGACTGACGAGTTACAAACTAGGCTAAAAAGACCGCTATATCTGAGAGTTATGCTCAGATAAACCCGGCTCCGATATATATAGAGCGTGAGATGATAAAAAGTTTCAATACGTACGATCACCCAACAAAATATCCTGCAGTTCCCTTAACCATAAAGCTAACAAACTATCAAAAACAAGTCCCGGCTCTCAGTTAAGGTAAATGGGAGATGCAATTATACCAGACAACGAGACACATCCAGTGAAATGATGGGTTTTGCCTCCAAGGATACATTCAGCGCTGCATATTAGTAAGCGATGGCCGTGATAACAGCCGCCAAAAATACCATGCCCAGAGAGCTGCCTAATCTGCTTCCACCATTGAATACCGCGGGTGATGAAATCGGATTGGCCGCATCTGTATCACTGCTTGTCCCAGATCCATTCACAGGGAACGTCGAATTGCAGCCCTTGTCATATTGGGAAGGACTACCCAGGTTTGCTCCCGTCTGGTTGTTATACGCTAGTCTGATCAATGTGTCCTCCGCTGGATTGTATAACGGCCAACCCTCCTCATAACTCTTCAATCCTTTCTTGGGGTCCTTTGCAAAGGCTGCCCAGGCTCCCCTCACATACTTGCCGGTAGAAATCTGCGCAGGGGTTTGGTCGGGGATTCCAGGACCCCGAGGAACGAAATCAAAAACAGCAAGTACATCAATTGTATGCCAAGCTCCACTGTTGGGGTACGTCGTGAGCTGCATGTCGGGCCACACTCCAAAATAACGATATCTCCATGTAGGGGCATCGTGCGAGATACTAATGTTGGCCCTCTCACCAACAGAACACATGGAATGCTCATCAATATTATCCCAGTACTCCTGCGGGTGACCCACAGCCTTAGGATCAGTCAAATCCAGACTCATGGTAAGGCCAGTTTCGTAATCCACGGTGCCCAGCAAAAGAGGCACCTTTGAGAAGTTTCCAGCCTTAGTGCGTTCTTCCAAATCCGAGAAAATGGTGATTTCATCAGCCACGGGGTCGAATGTGAGATTAGACGCCCCAGCAAACCCTGGCACATATGCCAGGATATCTTCCATGTCCTTAGTACGCATACATTTCAAAACTTCATTATGGTCGGATGAAGGATCGCCACAACCCAGACCCTTGCTGACGGAGAACCAGCTGTCCTCCACGGATTTAGCTTCTTGGGGAGATGGGTTCTTATGGTCAATGCTACCAGATTGTTGAATCAGTCCAGCAACAATGGGGTTCTCTTTCCACGCATAGGCGTAGTATTCAAGAGAGGCACTCCCTGCTGATTGACCAAACATGGTAATTCGAGATGCATCTCCACCGAACGCAGGAATGTTGTCACGAGTCCATTCAACGGCAAGTCTTTGATCAAGAAGCCCCAGATTTGCGTTCGGCTCTGCAGGATTGCCCGGGAAGCCGAAGATATTAACGCGGTAACTGGGTTGTCAACTTCATGGGCTTTGAGTGATGGTAGGAAAGACCTACTTGATAGCCACAATAATAACATCTTCTTGCTCCGCAAAATACTGACCATCATAGAATGGTACAGCTGCTCCTCCAACTGAGAACCCTCCCCCATAGATCCACAGCAGCACTGCTTTGCTCTTCTCCCCTCCAGAAGGTACCCAGATATTCAGCGTCAAGCAATCCTCACTCAAAGTTAGTTCCGATTGACCGATAATCGTAAGGATATTTGCACCAGGAACTGTAATATTCCCCACGGCTGATACTGGGGGGATGCAGAAGCAGGGCAAGTAAAGCCGTTTTTGGTCCCATTGATATTTCCAGTACCCTTGTATGGCTGCGGCGGTGCAAACCTCAGCGCTCCAACTGGCGGTGCGGCAAATGGAATACCGAGGTATTCAGAGACCCCAGTAGTATTAGAAGCTGCGTGTCCAGAGACCATGCCGCTAGTGGTGTTGACTGTTGGAACCTTGAAGGCATCTTCTCTCTGATGTATGGCATGACCTGCAACGAGAGACGACCTTAGAAAGGCGTGTAAAAGAGTAGTTGGCTTCATTTCCACTTTGTAGGATGAGAATGACGCAGTGAGACTCGGGAGATATGGACAAAATTTGGACTGAAGCCAGAAAGCAGTATTTATGTCCCAGATGTTGACATTTCACCCCAAAGAGGAACTCTTATAGAAAGCGGGGAAGGTTCATCTGGATCTTGCCATATTCCCATACTCAATTAGTAGTTTAGACTCCTCTCAAAGCTGCGTTGGGGGACCGTGGTATGCTTTGCAACTAAGGATATGCGCGTCGGAACATTTCCGCATTTTCTGACTTCTCCTAGCATACACTGGTTTAATATCAAAGCTGGAGGTTGAGGGGCTAGCCTTGAATGTACCAGAAAGTCGATTGACGTTAATATAGACCAGGTTGCATTTGTAATGAGTAATCGTCATATGATTCTCATACATAGATATAACGAGCGGAAAGTTTCCACTATATATCGACTTCCCCATGGGTATAGATTAGGCCAAATTTGCAAATGTCTCCTACATTTGCATGATTCTCAACTAAAGATGCCCCCTGTCGGAAAATTTCCGGTACTTTGAATTTCCCCACGGGGTAAGTGAAAGCTTAAAGTCCAAGCATCGGGTCCTTGTAAGTTCGTATTTGGGGACCACACACTACTTTTGAATCAAGATAACAGTTCAAGCATGATAATGCTCCGATATATACTGCTTATATTGTACGGGATGCATTAGCTGAGGTGCAGATTGAGGATATGGAATGACCTCCTTATTCGCCTGATTTAAATCCAATTGGGAACCGCTGGGCGTTGCTGAAAGCTAACCTTGGAATCTATGAGCTTCGATCTAATCATCTACAATGGAATGATGACACAGCAAAGGGTATTTTGGTAGCTACTGCGCAGCAGGAATGGCATGAATTAGAGATACGAACCAACCTAGAGCATCTTTCTGAGATGATGCCGCACCGGATGGAAGTTATTCTCAAGAGCCAGGGGTGGTATACACTATACTAAATTTTATTGCATGAATTCACGGTTAATCAAGGTTGGCAGTATATTATATAATCAGGGGAGTGTGCAGATGGGGCAGGGGTAGCAAATTTGGGATTTATGTCCAGTCGCTGTACAATGAAGAGCGGAATTACCCCGGGAGTGGTAAGCCGAGTCATAACCGGACAGCCACCAACTTACTGGACTGAGTCCAGGCCTGCATACTCATCACATGCGCAACTAGCTATAAAATTATCATAATCAGATGATGAAGCACTTCAGAAACGGATGAACAGTGGTCATAGGGTTTTGTATTGAATTCCTTAGGCCTTTTATCAAACTGAAAGGCAAGATAATTCAAGAAACAAGTCCCCTAGGATGGGTACCAAATCAACATTGCCATTACTAGGGGAAGAAATCGAAAAAAAGAAAAGGCTCACTTGAGTTACACAGCCAACAATCATTTCTTCCACCCACTGAGCGAGCAAGGGTGAGCATGGAGAAAAGGATTTCCCCGTGGTGCCCAGCAACGCCCATTGTTCGAATCTACGACCTCGGGAAGTAGATGAGATTACGAAAGGTACAATACTGTTGTTGTATTGTGGACAGAGTGTACTTTGTATAACTGAAGGAAGAAATGGAAGATTGTAAGAGTCTATTTTGAGTACCATGGTTGAATATATGGTGGAAATATGGGGTATTAAAACTCAGAATATCAAGGAACTATCATCATAACCCTGGAGCGTTCTCTAAATAAAAGTGTATGGATATTAACTAGTGTTAGTAAGCTATGTCCGCATAACTAGATGATAGGTACCTAAAACAGCGGACTTATTCATTTTTAGTTGAGAGGTGGAATATACATACGTATGTCATCCATACCACACATTGCTGTACACCTTGATTCCTATCCCCATCTCCTCGCGTCAGCATCAGTCCGTGGCTCTATTTAACCGCTATTTCACCTGGTGTATCACAGCCACCCCAATGTGGAATCGCGCGTTAGACCACTACGGCTGTGTCGCGTTGCTATAAAAGGAGATTGCAATCCCAACAGATAGCCCAGCCAAATACACTGGTGGTGCCAAGTGCCAATCCTTCCCCAGCTGCTGCTAGAAACCAACCCACTAGAACCATCAGTTGGATCCCCGAGGTCGAGTTGTTCTCGCCTATCGCGGTAAACTCTCTACCGCCAATGGGTTCCTCGCGCTACCAATCGTCCTCCGCATTAGCAGCCTGACGCGCGAGGCTGGAAACCATATTATAGGACCCAACGATATCCTCCGCCTCTATATATCAAGCGCAGAGCTGTGCTACACTCGCTTCACTCGGGATATCCACAATCGCGTCTTCGAGATTCTGATTGAGTCCCTCTAACGCTTCTCATCCATCATTCCCTCGGCCGAGGTCGGTATCTCGTTTCACCGAGCGCGGCGATGGTATAGATTTGGGCTTTTCTTGTCCCCGACCACTAAGGACCCAGCAGCCTCTGTACTACGGATTGCGTTTCAATGGCTCGTTAACTCGGCCACCAGAGCCCCAGATTCCACAATCTTCTCCACGCCCTTGTCCAGCAAGGTGTATCTCGGCTTGCTCTCAGCCATGCTTCCTGATCTTCTGCCACTGGCCTCTGACTCTATGGCTTGTCCAGATTCTCCTCAGTGTCATCCCACTCCATTTTGTCATAATTCGTGCTGGCACGCCTACCAATATTCGTTCCACTACGATTGCCTGTTTCAACGACCCCGACTAGTCCACGCAGCCCTGGTAACAACATACAACAGTGATGCCACCGGCTTCAATATGCACTCGCAGTGCAGGCGAATTATCCTTGTCGAGTCCCCGATGAACCATAACTCCCTCCTCCAGACCATTGGGTGCATCTACCGCATTGGTCAATTCCAGGAGCGGGTCGATAATCGTGACGAGACCATTGAGTGACTCTCCAATCAGCTGCTTAACCACATGCTTGGTATAGGCCCGGATTGTATGGATTGGTTGAAAATTCATGACTATAAAGAGCTAGGTCTGGGAGGTAAGAGCAAAAGTGGCCGGCAATTTCCCCTGCGTGGCCAGCGATCCCGCCTCACCGGAGCTCTCGAGCCACAAACGGGCAGCCACCACCCATCCGGCCTCCCCATCTTCGCTATCGACCCGAGGATCAAACTTAGGCTCACAACGTGGGTGTGGTCCCTATGCCTGCACGAACCTTGTTGATCTCATCTGTAAAGTGAAGGCACGGGATCATAATCACCAGAGGAAAATGACGCATATTGCTTACACTGTTGATATGCCACAATCCATACTATTCCACCGTGAGAAGTAGCTTTTTTCGTCGAAGGGCCGAGCCTCTCTTGAAGTATTCAAGGTATTCCGGCGGGTAGGTAGCAAATGTCAAATAAATCTCATTGTTGTCCTGTGGAATCATTATCTATGAGTGCTCGTTAGTATAGAAACATTTAGTAGTATATTATTAACTGCCGGGAGTTCGCCTCGGTCATGATCCAGGCTACCATCTCTGCCGCTTCCTGCCATAGGACATTAGGGCGTACTGTACGGTGTCGTTCCTCCGTCTTCACCTAGAAGATTGCGAAAATCTCACGGTATGTTGTCCTTCGAGATAACCGTCGGTTCAGGCGGTCGGCTAGTATGTCCAGAACCAACGCTGAGGCCCCTATGGTGGGCGGGTTCATAGGCGGGGTTTTGTTAATAGACTTTCCTATGGATAACCTGTAATGATCCTGTACGTTACTCTAGATTTATATCAGTTATGGAACTCGGAGGAAGCTATCAAACCATCTAACTATAGTGCATTTCAATTTGATCAAAGCGATAGAAATGAAGGTGTACAGCAAGACATGGTACAGATGGCGGATAGATATTTCTCTCACTAAATTGACAACAACCCTTTCTTTTTCTAGTCTATGCAGATTTAGCTGGCTAAAAATAATATGTGCTTTTTGTGTATGGCACGCTATTATGGAGGTGCGTAGATTTTCCGATACCTCGTATTTCTACTATGTATGGCACCATGGTGTTTGACAAAACACATAACGGTCGCAAAGCATCAATACATGTTGTCGGAATTGAGAATTGACTTTTCCACCAGCCGTCTTTGCCTCTAGGGCAGATCGGCAGATCTCGAAGATACCAGTGGGGATATTGAGAAGACAAGCTTGTTTTTCCTGCATGGACCTTCCCAAAATGGTAAGCGCGGATTTAAATCCCATGGACTTTTAAACTGGACTTCCCTCCCCACTGATCATAAGATATATTTTGCACGAATGTGAGGCAATTATGGAGTAGTAAAATATCCCCTTGTTAATATATCGGGAAGCACTCCCTATAGGAGGTTAGAATGCATTATTTCGCTCACTGAGATCTTTGTTGGGCCAATCACAGTGAGAGGATGTGCATAGCACCACGCACGCACGAGTATATATGAGTGAATTGTTGTACTTCCTGACACTTCTTATCCTTGCTCTTTTCTTTCTTCACTACACTACTCTCAGTAACATGCCTCCGACCGAGAAACAAAAGGACATCTCCCACCGTCATCGCTCTTTCAAGGGATGCTGGACCTGTAAGAAAAAGAGAATCCAGTGCGATGAAATGCGTCCGGCCTGCCGGAAATGCAGTTCACGAGGTCTCACTTGTGAAGGATACGAGATTCGATTGCGCTGGGGGGCTGGTATCGCATCCCGGGGAAGTACTCGGGCGCCGAGAAGCCCGTGAAAGAATCTATACCCCCGCGATCGAAGCGAAGATGGGATATGCGAGACAAGGGTGGCACAACTTATCGGGACGGGAATGTCGAACTTGTTTTGGAGTCTCAATCTTTGGTGAATGAAGGTATTGCCAGAGCATGGAGACGTTTTGTGGTTCCCAGCTCACATATCCTTCTAGATCGTGAACCCCAGTTAATTGCCGAGCGAGCAACAGTCAATATACTTAACTCACCGTGGGAACCAGGTTCTCCACGAAGTTCGGCTATCAACAAGCATTTTGAGATACCTACATCCTTAGCCACTTTGGCGGCAACGACCGCGTATGGCCGGGGTCCAGATATACCGGATCAATATGTCAAAAACGCGGGCCGACGGAGTATATTGGCATGACTTGAGCTTGTATTCTGGGAGTTTTGTACTTTAGCACTGCAAATCACTTTGGCCATTATGAATTATGACAAGGTTCGCCACGAACAGACTGATTAAGCTCGCTATTCTACACACTAAAACAGTATTTACCTCATTAAAAAACTATACCCTATTCGTCCTCCTGAATCGTCTCACTACCTCTCTTCCGCCCCTTGTCTTCCACATGATCAGTCAACTGGGAAACCTCAGATCGATGACCTGCTGGGTGGGTTTGCAAACTGTCGAAAGATTCATAAAAATGCGACGACCGACCGGTCACCACGTTGTCAATCGACATTGGGGACGTTAATGACAGTGAAGATGGGCGCCGGCTGTGACCCATTGGATATGAGTACTCTGACCCAGTCTCACTAGCAGTCTGCGGTGAGACAGGAGACTGGGATCCTCGTCTAGGATCAGGTTTGGGACCCCCGCCATGAGCAAAGTACGCAGTATTGAATGGTGTGGGAAGCTCAACTGGTGATGAATCTGTGTAAATGTCAGGGTTAGTACTCTATAGTATCGATTTCCTGTTAGGGATTGAAGAAAGAAAGTCATCGACATACCATGCATCTCGTACAGTGCATCTCCTCCTGATTCCACTGTGCCAGGGGTTGCGGGAGATATGACGGAGTCCGGCAAAGTCGAAGCCTGTGTGATCGATGGCTGGTTTATGGATTGCTGTGCTGTTGACGGCTGCGTTCCCGTGGTGTGCGTAGTTCGCACCGTCTCCGCCGTCTCCATACCAGTCGATGAAGATACTGGCCCGGGTCCGGGGGAGGCTGGACCGCTCCCATACATCCATTCTGGGGGGCGATTTTTGGGTTCAGCGTTTGCGGCCTCGGATTCAGCTTCCGCGGACTTGCGTTGACGTTGACGGCGGCGATAAAACCAGAGTCCGACCAGGATTGCAATGATGAGCAGACCTAAGACTGCACCGATTACTCCACCAGCCCAACTGGGGAAGCCGCCGCCCCCGCTGTGATCTTGTGTGGATGAACTGGTGCTGGAATTGCCGCTAGTGCTATTATACGGCCAATATGTCTCGATGGTCTTGCTGTATTTCTTGTCGAAAATTCCCGCTAGAGAGCTGTTTGTCCATGATGGTGGGGCAGTTGTGCTTGCACCTCCATCAGAGCTAATAATCTGTCAGCTATAATTATTGACTCCCTGTAATGCTGGGTCTACACTCACTTGCCCCCTATCAGTTTCGTCACGATATCCGGCACTTTATACTCACTCCAAGTTGTGGGATCATATTTATCCTCAAAACTCAGCGTGTTGAGGTTGAAGTTGACAATTACACCACCCTCTAGGCAACGGGTTGGATCGACATGCTGTCCTCCAACCGCCAGCATTTGATCTGGATATACCTTGATGCATCTGTGACCGCTGCGACTGTGTGTGTTTGTGCCATTGTATGCTTTGATCCACTTGAAGGAAGGCAGGGACAATATATACACATCGTCAGATGGATTAGCACTAAGGTCGAGACCATCATATCCTCCATAGATGTAGATATTATGAGATGACCCATCAGCCGCACTAGCAAGGACAGAGCAGAACTCCGTCAACTGCGGCGGTATATCACCTGTCGTGTTCTGGAGATACCAGGTTCTACTCTTGACATCGAAGACGGAGACCGTCTCCATGAACGTCGGGCTAATCCTTTTGCTCTCCTCTGTCCGAGTTGAGTTTGATTTGAAAAACTGAATGGGTTCAACCACCCCACCAATGGCGACTAAAACCCCGGACTCGGATACAGGGACCCATACTAGTTCCGCATTGGAACGAGCAGGAACATAACTTGGTAGTGTGGTGTTTGTCCAACTCCCGTCGCTCATCTGCGACATATCCAGGGTGATTAGCGTGTCAGCCGTTTGGTTGGATTGAAGCTGGTCAAAATTGAAGTCGCCCCAGTCTGCCGCACGCATCCCACTGAAGTAAAAGCCTAGGTTCTCTCTTGGGGCTGATGCAGCGGCGCCATTGGTGATATATCGTGTAACATTAGTAGAGAGGTATTCTTCCTTCCAGCCGGGCTTCCATAAGCTTCTATGGGGGCCATACTGGTACGCAGCGTATGATAGGACTTGATTAGCAGGCCGAGGATTGGAACTATTGGTATTAGGATGCATGCCTCTGCAATAATGGATCTCAGAATCAGTGATTTGTTAGAGGGAGAGACGAGAGATACCAACCCATATAGGTATAACTCGTTGTCGTTGGCAAACATCGTGCCATCAACGTAATTTGGAGCCATGCTAGGATCACCGCTGGCGACGGACTCGTTGGTGAGTAGATCCATGAAATCAGATTTTGTGTTGAAGGAAGTGTTGAGGTTCAGATGATAGATGGTGGTTGTCAAAACTGCTGCCAGTTAGCCATGTACATATATCAACACCTATTGGTCGCCCATACTATCAGCAGGTTGGTACTGGGGGCAATCATCATCGCCTCTGCATTTGTTAGTGAAGATACGTATTGATCATGGGGGACTTCGTACGTCTGATACCATAACCGCCCGCCATCGAGGAAGATTCTATCGCGCAGGATATTGGCTATTAGTGTTAGTAAAAAAATAATTCTTTCCAAAATTCTTAAACAAGGAGTGTTTACCACGCAGACCTTGCCAATTGCACATAGACACATTATTAGTTGGAGTAGCAGATAGGCCACATGCGGCCACTGCATAGTCTATCACGACTAACAGCGTCAGCACCGTCTCCAAAAGAAACCGCATTTTTTAATCGAAGAAACAGCGGTTGAGCTCATCACTGAGTTGTCATAATTTGAAAATAACAAGTCCCATAAAAATTCCGGAATGTCGAATTACTGCTGACATCCAAATGCAAAAAAAAAAGAGCGAGGGGCGGGGTTCGGAACTTGAGATGCGGCTTTGTTGATCTCTTTGTTGTCAGTTGGCCCCCGCCCTGAATACGAAGTAGCCAAGGCGAAACAAGAATGAATAGAAGACGGTGTAATATACGCCCGCTCAGCTTGTGGTCCGACCGTTCTGATCATTACCCTGATTGTATTGCTGCATGGCTAGAATCATGCAGCCACGGGAAATACAGCCGAATCAACTGACGGAGCCCCATTGTGTGCTTGAGCTAGCTCCAATTGTGGTCGGTGCGGTCGATGCATAACTACAAAAGTTCGGGATATTATGTATTCCCTCGTACTCGGGGTTCGAGATGGGGCTATGCAGCCTATGCTACCTCGCCTAGGCTGATGCCCATCGGAGGGGAATTTTGAGCCTCGAACTATTGGGCGTTCTTTGAGCGACGGGGACCGTGCGTATGAATTGGATGTCTTCCAACTCCCTCGATTAATTTTCTTTGTTTAGCATGTGTAGCTTGTTTACCTTGCTCGCCATCCCCGGAAGGATTTCTTCTACAGACAGGCAAAGATGAAGGACGCAGTCGCTTGGTTATCGCTGCTGGCGACAACTTTCGCTTTGGTGACATCAAGTCATAGTAGTTTAATCAACAGATCCCCCGCGCTGTCGGCAGAACAAGAGGATGGATTGACTGTCACAGTGGGAATTGGCGTTACACTTTGGCTCGGTGATGGCGATTCTTGCGCCGCTGAAACTATCACCGACGCTTCTACGCAGACTGGAAATAGCTCTCCAGGCGCCACTGCAATTACTATCACCGAGGCTACTACCAAGACTATTAGTGGTTGTCGAAATGCCCCTGCCATAAGTGCTTCCGCTGATGTTGGCATTGGACCGCTCAATCTTGCTGCACAAGCCGCCATAGCACTGCCCGCAAATGAAGCTATAAAAACACTCACGGATTACACAACCGAGATTTTTACCATCACATCGTGTACATGCACAGATGACTTGACTAGCACGCCAACTACCTCAAGCGTGCCTGTAACAACTACCTCGAGCGAATCTGTGACGACTACCTGCAGCGAGTCTGTGACAACTACCTCGAGCGTGTCTGTCACAACCACTTCGAGCAAGCCTATCACCACTACCTCGAGTGAGCCTATCACTACTACCTCGAGTAAGCCTATCACTACTACCTCGAGTGAGCCTATCACTACTACCTCGAGTGAGCCTATCACGACCACCTCGAGCGTGTCTGTCACTACCACCTCGAGTGAGCCTATCACGACCACCTCGAGCGTGTCTGTCACTACCACCTCGAGTGAGCCTATCACGACCACCTCGAGCGTGTCTGTCACAACCACTTCAAGCAAGCCCATCACCACTACCTCGAGTGAGCCTATCACGACCACCTCGAGCGTGTCTGTCACTACCACCTCGAGTGAGCCTATTACGACCACTTCGAGCGTGTCTGTCACTACCACCTCGAGTGAGCCTATCACGACCACTTCGAGCGTGTCTGTCACCATCACCTCGAGTGTGTCTGTCACGACTACTTCGAGTGAGCCTATTACGACCACTTCGAGCGTGTCTGTCACTACCACCTCGAGTGAGCCTATCACGACCACTTCGAGCGTGTCTGTCACGACTACTTCGAGTGAGCCTATTACGACCACTTCGAGCGTGTCTGTCACTACCACCTCGAGTGAGCCTATTACGACCACTTCGAGCGTGTCTGTCACGACTACTTTAAGTGAGCCTATCACCACTACCTCGAGCGAACCGGTGACAAGCACCTCAACGACATGGACGACTATCAGTGATTCGACTACGACTACGACTCTTCCAGAGACGACTACCCCGACAACCACTACAGTGACAACCAGGACCACTTCCAACTCTGTAAGTGTTACCACTATTCCAGTATCGACAACATCGGTGACTACTTCCGGTGGGTCAACTATCACTATCCCAAATACCACCATCACTCTACCGGGAACAACACTTCCAGGGACAACTATCACAACAACAATCACCGATCCTGCTACCACCGTCACTGTATCGGGTGGTAGTAGCACTTTACCCGGCTCAACCCGTACCACAACTGTTACTATCCCAGGTACGTTGTGAAAAAATAGAACATTGAGTATCATTGTAATAACTAACACTATAAGATTCACAAACAACCCAAACAATTCCATCCGCTACTGCCACCGTTAGCAAGCCTCAAACCACATCGACCCAGGGCTCTAGCAGTGCTACGACGGTATCCGCCTCCGTATGCTCCAGTCTTATCAGCAACCCATCCTACACACCTACCGCCCCGTTGCCAGATGACTATACCTGGGGCTGCGCACCTGGATATCTCTGCAAACCACGTCATACGGGTAACCGCTCGGAATGCAACATTGAAGCAGGTCTTCCCGACCCTGGATACATCTGCGCCCCTTCAGACTGCATTGTGGCCCCGCCTTTGGACGTCCATCCAACTTGGCCGTACAATGTCTCGAATATCTATTACAACCTCAACCCGGAGGACTTCGGCCTCAATTACTCTATCTTTGAGTTCCCGGAAGACCAAGTTACAGCCAACAGTAAACGCGGCATGTCCTCGTGGGATTTCGCTATCAACCAAAAGGTCAAAAGAATCGACGTAACAAAACTTCCTCCGATCTGTTATAATCAGTGCAGCGATGCTGCGCATGAGCCGCAATTGATTGGAAAGACCGATGAGATTTGCAAGAGTGATTCAACATTCATGGAAAACTTGGGTGTTTGCAAAGAATGCATTACTAGCAACGCTGATTCTGGCTCTGATCAATATTCATCAAGAATGTTGCCGACATTTGCACAGTGGCTGAATTACTGCTCCGACAAGGTCACCTCCACGACAGCACAAAGTGCCACCAGCACCAAGATGGAAACTACGGCGACAAGCACACAGACCACCACTACTACCAGCTCGGAGGCTTCGACAGCAGCCACAATCACTAGTACTCGGCCTACCAGCACTGAAGCTAGCAGAACCGATGCTACCACCACCGATGCTACCACCACTGAGGCTAGCAGCAGCGAATCTACTACCGCTGACGCCAGCAGCACTGAAGCTACCGGGACTGAAACAACGAGCGCCGAAGCTACGAGCACTGGAGATGCGATCACTGAGACAGCGAACACTCAGTCCAGTGAAGAAAGCACTGCTATCACTGAGACCGAGGAAACATCCAGCGCAGGCGCGACAACCCTACCAGTCACTCTCATCACAACCACAGCTTCAGGCTCAATTGTGACAACCTCAGTGTCTGCTTCACTTGTCACAACTTCTTTCTCTGGATATATTGTCACGATCTCAACATCAGGCTCCTTCGTGACAAGCTCAGTACCTGGATCGATTGCGACAACATCAGTATCTGGCTCGCTCATTACAACGTCACTGCCCGGTTCAATCAAGACTATGCCGAGCACTCAGGACACAGGGACTAGTGGTGAAACCACATCTGACAATGCTTCCAGTAGCTCATCGGGTTCGGATCGCGGAACTCAGACTGATTCGGCAACTACCTCTACGTCTTCTCCGGCCTTCAATGCGGCAGGATCCTTAAATATCCCTCATATCGGCTCAATTGGTCTGCTCTGGGCTATTTTTGCACCACTCCTTTAGAATAATGTTTTTTTGCTGCATTTAATGTTTGTCATCTGATGCGTCTGACATATTTAGTTCATTATTGATGATAGTGGATTTATTAGTCCATTTTAATAGGTATCACCAATGAAAAATGAACTATGTTCTGAGCTCTCTAGGCTTTCTCTGAGACTTTCCATATTCCAATGAAAGATATCTATGCTGTAGCAGAGTGTTCTCAAATGTTCTTATAACCACCCTTCATCTCTATGTACCGTAGACTACACATTGGATTCTCAGTTCTTGGGGTATCAACCTTGGTAGTTCTTTCCTATTCCAGGGAACTGCTGTTTTGTAATATTGGCACTTGCCACAACATTCAACACCACCATAATCCCACAAGGAGCGACATGGAGCAACCCTCTGGGTTAGCCAGAGGGTATACATACCTACCTAGGTAGAACCTTTGAAAAGTCTCTTACTTATTCATTCTCAGGGCTTTCTAACATTTGCCGCCTCCAAAATGGCCGAGTGATCCAGGTTATGCGTAGTGCCCGCCTTCAGGATAGTATCACGCACCCACTGCCCCTTCGGACGCATCACAGACCTAAACGGCTTGGGCAGGGTGACAAAGCCCTCCGTGCAGTCCATGTCATGGACATTGTGCCTCGCACCTGTGGCCTCGTCCACAACGCCAGCCTCGACATCAAACGACCACAGCATGCGCGCCATCTGAATGAACAGCTGACTGCGTGCAATGGGACGGCCCGTACAGACTCTGCGCCCGAATCCAAAGCCTGTATACGGTAGGTCTTTCAGAGCGGATGTGTTCAAACCACAGACATCGATGTGCTCATTGTCGGATTCCTCGGCAATCCATCGCTCCGGGATGAAGTCGTTGACGTCCTCCCCAAAGACGGCCTCATCGCGCGTGATGGCAAATGCGTTGGGGAGGACAGTCGAGTTGGCGGGGATGCGGTAGCCCATGTACTCGTCCTCGATCTTAGTGAAGTGCGGCACACCCTGAACGACAACAGGACGCCAGCGGAGAGTCTCGCTCACTGTATCGAGTCATCTAATGTCAAAACTTGCCAATTAATCAAATCAGAGAAATGAAACTCACCAATAGCGTCAATATAGGCCAGCTTGGGGCGGTCTTCAAAGCTAGGTAGGCGGTCTTTACCGACGACCTCGTCTAGAAGCAGCTGCGCCTTCTTCACCCAGCCACGGGAGCCCGACGTAATCCAAGCAACGATAAACCAGTCCAGTGCAACAGTCGAAGTATCCAAGCCAGCATCAGCAAGAATCCCCAGATCAAACGCGAGCTCAATCTCCGGCATTCCCACAGCCTCCGGCGAGTCCTTCATATGCTTCGAAAAGTTCCACTTTTGGTTACTCAATCCCTTTCGCAAGTTCCCAATATGCAGCTGGCGCTCCAGCTCAAATAGCTCTTCGGCCTCTTTCTTCCACGGCGCCAGAAACTTGGGCAGGTAATTCAGGGACGGGAACGAGTCGACAATGTACGCACCCACCTGCCCGGTGCGCGCAAACTCCGCCTGTACGCGCTTCCCGTCCATCAGCTCCTTCTCATATCCGGTTTGCAGCCGGTAGCCATAGATCAGACAGTAGATCGTGCTAGCCATTGCACGCTCGAAATGGTGGTGGAAGTCTACTCCCTTCTCCCCAAACTTGTCCCACTCACCTAGCACATCCCATAGCAGTTGCTGCGACTCGAGGTCCTGTAGCGGGCGGTAGTTGCTCGCAGCGCGCAGGTTTATAAGTGGGGCCTCCATCTTCTGGTGTAGTTTGTACTGGTCGTTATAGGGTCGGAGGAGCGTGTGCATACCCTTAGTGACCAGCTCGCCGGCCATGACCATGCGTGGGCGGTCCGAGTATCGCGAGCTGCGGCGGTTGAGGAGATCATGTGCAGCCTGGTGGGTGGAGAGGACGATGAGCGGCTGGCCGCCCATGCTGAGATGCATGACCGGGCCATACTTCTTGCTCCAGTGGTAGAGCTCCAGCCATTGGAGGCTCTTGGGGAGCTGGTGAATATTTCCGATTAGAGGCAAGGGCTTGGGTCCTGGCGGTAGCGGCAGCGAGGGGCGTTTGAAGAGTGACAGGACCAAGCGGGCGATCAGGATCGTGCTGAGAGCGCCGAGTAGATAGGTCGCAAAGCCGGTCATTTTGGCCCAGCTAAAGAGACAAGACGGAATGCAACTCTGACTGTGACTGTGACGGCGGGGATGGCGGCGAAAAGACCAAGCAAGTCGATTTAAGTACGGTATCTCTCCCCCTCCGCCGGGTCTGCAGTGAACGGTGAGTGGGGTGGTGATACCATTGTACAGCGGCCAATGAGTGCGCGCATATCTAAATGCTGATTTGGCTCGCTTGGAGAGCTTATTGAGGGGCCCCTTCAAGAGCTGCACCATACTATTCCGTAGTAGGACGGAGGATACGAGCCCGTCTGGGAGAAGTGAGTCGCATCTGGTGATGGACTTCTACGAGTCCTACCTCATTCGTGAAGCGCCCTGAGTGTATCCATCGCGTGATAAGGCCTCTTGCATCTTGCAAGGGTCTCTCGGTGCTGGCTCGCAATATCCCCGGCCACGCTAATGTATACTAATTCGTGGTAGTGGGGGGCACGGCTGACATTCCATTACTTTTGTCAGAGACGAAAGGATACGGTCGTGAAGCAACCTCCCCGGCCAAGCTAATGCATACTAATGTGTGGGAGTTTTGGGGGAAGAGGGGTCACTATTGTTCCATCGCGTTATGTTGGGACCTTGGAATTAATATTGGCTCCAAATTCCTTACTTTGGTCATGACTCTGGGAGTATTCATATCCTGATCTCGATACCTGTCAAGTGCCAACACTCATAGCACTATTTGTATTGGTTTGATTAACAGCAGGGATATGGTACTTTTGTTGATAACAGTCTGTTTACCTTAGGTTAATACTAGGCTAACCTCGCCTATAGAGTATTCCGGGTTGCCCTAGTCCGGATCCGGGAAGTTCAAGACAGACCTTGGGTTGGATTTTACTACAAAGTCTAACCTTCTTATTCGCTGAGATAGAAGGGCACTCTGCCCCTCAATCTAAGAATCGATCTCCCGTGTTGAAAACGGTCCGTGTGGGGGCCGTGTGGGGTGCTAGGATGTCATGAGCCTGGATGCTGATTTTAGCCCAAAAGGGAAAACACAAAAGAAAAACACAAAGAAAGAAAAGATGTTAAAATATCTTCAGTCGCCGGGTGTCGGGATCTGGGGCGAAATGGTGGTCAACACCAAGTCCTAACATGAAGCTGCCGTTGCGGCCTTTGTGGCTACCGCTGATGCCCAGAACTTCTCGGAATGTGCGGTATGGAGGCTGTTCAATATCAAAACCAAGATACAGCTGATCATGACCGCCAGGCCAACTACCTTGCCGAGGGCTTCAAGAATGCAACATGTACCGCGACGGACGCCGACTGCATATGCGCTAATGAGACATTGATGGCCAATGTTCAGGCATGCTCACTGAGAGCCTGCACCATACCGCAATTGAAGGACTTCGGACGTCCCAGTATGCTAACCCTCTCGATATTGGCCGGCCAGACTGACTTCCTATCGTCAGAGTCCCGAAATGGCTACCCTCTGCCACTGCCACTGGCCGGTCCGGGACAGGAGTATTGTCGCTCCCATCACGGCAGCCGTTACCGGTGCCTTGGCTCCCACGTTTATTGGCATCAGATTAGATGACTGTATTGCTAATAACGGATTCAAGTGGGCTGATCTGTGTGCGGTCTTCGCATTTGGGAGTGCGCCGCCGTGTGAGCATGGAAGTTGAGTCTGCCGGGTAACCAGCAGATTGGAATTTTTTTTTCATTTCTCATGGACATATTTGAATTCCTCAGTGTGTTCCTCCTCGGTCAATTAAGTGTTGGATATATGCTAATATCGCAACAGTGATTGGTGGGTTCGGGGATGGGAAGTTTGGACCTTGACGGAAAAAGAAATCACAAAAACGATGAAGGTGTTCCTTTCAGTCACCGCAAGAGTGACCAATGTTGTTTATGTGACGACCTGGACCTGAGCGTTCCTAGATTCTGCCTAACTCTTTGTCAAAGGAGCTAGTACATTATAGCGCCAAAATTGCCTACTTTGTACGGGGCAGATAAGAAAGCCCCACCCAGTAGACAAAGGGAAGTAGGGCCTAACGATTGGCTGACCAATCTCCCCTCCTACCCCGGCCTCAGCTCTCCAACTCCCCCTCATCAGTTGCCTATGCTGTCGGCGGTTCCCTAACATATCATCACCTATCTATGAAATGGCTCAACAAAGCTTGTCAGACATATTGTCCAGCGCCGCTGTGGATTTGACCCCTTATGAAACTCTCTACAAGCATTTCCATACGCATCCCGAGCTCTCGCTACAAGAGAAGGCCACCTCTGAAACGATCGCCTCACACTTGTCACAGCTCGGAGCCTATGATATCCACACAAATATCGGAGGCTATGGGCTTGTGGGCATTCTCAAAAATGGCCCTGGAAAGACTATTCTTCTTCGGGCCGACATGGACGCGCTTCCAGTCAAGGAACTTACCGGCCTCCCCTATGCGAGTTCAGTGACCATGTCTGATGCGGACGGCAATGAAAAGCCAGTGATGCATGCATGTGGCCATGACATGCACATCACATGTCTTCTCGCAGCAGCCGAACTTTTGGCCCGTGCAAAGAATGCGTGGAGCGGAACTTTAATCGTACTCTTCCAGCCGAACGAAGAGAGGGGCGGAGGCGCTCAGGCCATGGTTGATGATGGGCTGTATTCGAAGATTCCCATGCCTGATTACGTCTTTGGTCAGCACGTTATGCGAATGCGAGCGGGAAGTGTTGGTTCCCGACCAGGCACGATCATGGCTGCTGCCGATAGCATGAAGATCACTCTCTACGGCCGTGGTGGTCATGGGTCACAGCCGCAACAGACGGTAGACCCAGTGCTCCTTGCTGCACATGTTGTTGTTAGGCTTCAAAGTATTGTGAGTAGAGAGGTGGACCCGACTGATCTTGCTGTCGTGACGGTCGGGAGCTTGCAGGCAGGACAGACAGAAAATATCATTGCAGACCGGGCGGAAATTGGAGTTGACTTTAGAACTGTCAAGTTGGAGACTCGGGAGAAAATAATTTCTGCTATCCGCCGCATCGTTGAGGCTGAGTGTCTTGCTAGTGGATCGCCGAAACCGCCAGTGTTCACACCAACAAGGCGGTTTCCGCCCACCGACAATGATAAACAGGTCGCTTCCCAACTGGCTGCATCTTTCCGAGACCATTTCGAGGACTTTGATGATGATACCCCAAGGACCAATGTTAGTGAAGATTTCTCTACCCTGGGCACTTCTCAGGGGCTTCCTTGCTCCTTTTGGTTCATTGGTGGAATTGACCCAGAGCCCTGGGATAAAGGCCAGAGAAACGAAACTCCCATGGACGAGATTCCTGGGAATCACTCGGCTCTGTTTGCGCCGGTGATACAGCCAACGATGAGAACCGGGGTGGATGCATTGTGCCTTGCGGCTTTGACATTCTTGAAAAAGTAGCCATTCGAAGCCCAAAAATGACCTCTCCAATTATCTGTTGCCGCGGTTTGAAAGGTGTTTTAATGCTGTATATAACAAATTGCTCGCATATTTGAGAGGAATTCTCGGTTCCATACTCTACACTGCTAATTGTTGGATAGATGATCTTTGTGCATAATGTGTATTTTATTCCTCTGCAATTTCATTCTATTCATCTTCGAACCGCAAGTGGTGGGGGCAGCGAACCTCTTTATTTTTGATTTCTCTTCCTCCGCATGTCATTGTTCAAAGCCAGCCAAGAAAGACACCACAGCAGAGGCAAAGGCCTTGGAATCATCCTGACATTCCTCGCTGTCATCACCAACTTGCTCCAAGAACAACGCCAACTTCGATTCCTTCCATCCCATGACAGGTGCAGATTCCAAGCACATCTTAGTCATGCCAAAGGCATCCATTTCATAATGACCCTGCACGGACAGCACTCTGCCGGGGTTGTAAAGTCCCTGAATAGGGCAGATGGGCGTACTTCCAATATTAATCCACGGCGCAGGCAGCGAAACCGGCGGCGAGTCGGTAAGTGTAACAGCAGTTCCCTTCTCAACCGCCATCACGCGATCCCCATGGAACATCTGAATGCGCAAGCGTCCCTCGGGAAGATCACCAAGTGCACCTGGGAACGCCTTCACAAACGCATTTTCCAATTGGACAGTATAAATTCCGACCTCACGACCGAGAGGGCATTGCTCAACCCAGACATCGCGGACCGGGTCTTCCACGTTACGGACGAGAGCGTGGGAAATAAGTTGGTGGCCGAAACAGGTGCCCAGAATACGGACTTCTGGGTATTGGTTGTACACTGTTTTGACGAATTTCTCGAGCTCTTGCATCCATGGTGAATGGTCCATCTCGTATACGCCGGGCGAACCGCCGGTGATCAGGACTGCGTCCACTGGGGACTGCACAGGTATTTGGTTCTCGCCTGCATGGCCGCGGAGCTTGTATAGGTCGGGATAATGGCCTCCCCGGATATCATATGGCGTGATCTTGACTTCGAGTTGCTCTTTCTCAGAGAATAAGGTCTCGTTCAGGCGTGATGCAGTCTCGCGGAGGATGGCTCGGAAGTGGGCACTGCATAGTCCTCTAGCCTCGTATAGCTTACGGGCTGGGATATCGACGTCTAGGACGGCGATGTGGATGTGGTGAACCATTTTTTTTTAAAAGAAAATATGTGTTTAATTGATGGGATATTTGGGATTATGGAGGGTGGAAATGGTGAAGTGAAGATTTCAACCCCCTGGGTGTACTGCTAAATAAGATAATTTCGCCATACTAACCCCGACACAGGATTCGAAATCATTTAGGTAAGACATAGTCTTGTGGGATTCAAGAATTCATATAATAAAAAGGATCACAGGAAGAAAAAACGGCCAATTACTCCAATAGACTCCAACCACCACGGAAGCATTAGGTAAAAGCCCACGTTGTCACTCGATGAGCTTATTTTTCCTTGATCCACACTGAGTTACACCGAATACCTTTTACATATTTTCTCCGGTACCCTATTTCTACCGAAAATAAACCGGGTTGTTTCTGTTCAACAGTGTATGGAGTACACTCTTTTATACGCGTTCTGCCTGCCTCGAGAATAGTATATGTAATGGATAATGCCTAGTAACTCTTGGCTTTCCCATGTTTCAGTTGAGACTAACACGGGATTTGCTACGATCTGAGAGGCTTTATTTCATTTATAACGTCTTCCAAGTCCGTATATGCGTGAACGATCTCTCGTCCAACCAGCTAGTTCCGCACAAAACGATCGCCTAAGAGCTTATTAAGGCTTAGCTTTCCATCCATTTCAGTGTTCATCCCTTGCCGCTTTTTGCTCGCTGAGTCACGCCCACCTGCCCCCTGGTGCTTACATAATCATTGGACAATCCACCCCTAGTTAGATGAGGACCTCCTGAGTAACTCCGTGACCTGAGCGCTCTGACTTGCTCAAAATCCTCAGCAAAGCAGGAGAGCAACCAAGTCAGCAGCTCACCGTCCAACCTTGGTTGACAAAATGGATACTGGCTTAAGGATGGCCCCAGTCCGGCACCGGACTCAAGTTTGAGAAATATTTGTGGACCTGATCCACACCGACGAGTCCGAGGTCCGGGCTACGGAGTGAGCTCCGGAGTTCTCAGAAGACCGGAGTTGGGAGGATAGCGGAGAAGACACGCTACCTATGTATGTATGTACTCGAAGATATTGATCTGATAAGGAATTGCTTCAAACATTGCCGTTCAGCACCAGAATCCTGAGAATCACTTCGATATTATAATTATACCCAATGTTCTCATAATGTCGTCTTATCCTTCTTCTCAACTCTACCAAACCCTTCTAAACAACTTCAATTCATTGGTTTCCTGATTCACTATGACTGGCGTTCAAGTTTGCTCTGTCCAAGATGAGACTACCCAAGCAGCTGAGCAGATTGAAGTGTCTAGCTCCTGGTGTGGTGCTGGGCCTGCAGCCTACGACTTCCGTACAGACACTATCACGACACCGACCTTATCTATGCTGAAGGCGATTGCTCAAACGACCTTGATGGATGATGTATACCAAGAAGATTCGACAACAAATGACTTCGAGAAATTCATGGCCAACCTCACAGGCAAGGAAGACAGTCTTCTAGTCATGTCGGGCACAATGGGAAACCAAATTGCCCTCCGATCGCTGTTAACACAACCACCCCACGCCATTCTCTGCCATTACCAATCTCACATTTTGAAGTCAGAGGCCGGCAGCTGCTCATCTCTGTCTCAGGCGCATATGCAGCCATGCATCCCCGCGAACGGGCAGTATCTGACCCTCGAAGATATTCAGCGAGACGTAGATACTCGCGACAACATCCACATTGCGCCTACCCGCGTGATCTCGCTAGAGAATACCCTCGCAGGTGTCATTACTCCTTTAGAGGAAGTCCGTCGGATCTCTGCATTCGCTCACGCCAACAATATCAAGATGCACCTGGACGGCGCAAGAATCTGGGAAGCTGTCGCTGCTGGTGCCGGCTCATTAGTTGAATATTTGGACTGCTTTGATACAGCCCAGATGTGCTTTTCCAAAGGGCTGGCTGCCCCGGTCGGCAGCATTATTGTTGGTCCGAAGAGCACTCTGTCACATTGCCGATGGGTGAGGAAGAGTATTGGTGGAGGCATTCGACAGGCCGGGATCATCTCATCGGCAGCCCGTGTGGCAGTCGAGGAGAATTTCGGAAACGGACCTAATGGGGAGGGTGGTCGGTTGCAAGAAACGCACAGGAAGGCTAAGATTATTAAAAAGATGTGGGTTGACCGCGGTGGCGCGGTCAGTCGGCCAGTCAACACAAACATGGTTTGTCTGGATTTGCCTCACAGCGGTATCACGGTGGACAAAATTATTTCCGTGGGTAGAGAGGAAGGAGTTAAATTGTTCGGTGGAAGAATAGTCGTCCACTACCAGATTGCCGATGATGCCATTGTCCGACTGGGTAATGTTTTTGATCGCGTGCTGTCGTCGACAGAGAAGAGGGAAGAGGTAGTTCAGGAGTCAGATTCGGTCTATAGATAGATAATCAAGGGGAAAGAAAGAAGTATATAGGAGAGAATTGACCACGGCTCAACAAGTATTCCTTTACTCCTTTGTTTTACAATTCCCTATTTGTTATATAACGTGGCTGTCATACCTTTTTGCGCTTTGCACGATTCGCTTCGAAGACCTATGAAATATCTACGACGGTCCCGTCCATGTGTTCTATCTCACCACTCTCTAACCACTCAATTCTAGTCCTTTTGGCCTAATTCTTTTCCTTTTATGAAGAATTTATGAGTCTAATAATATCTGTCCATAAAACAATATCAGAATGTGTATGTATAGAATAGTATAAGGGTGGTTTAAAAAGCACAGTTTAGATATTCAATATTGGGCTCTATATTTACCCGATATAGGTTCTCTTAGGCTAGCTTAGTAGGTTTTAAAGCTAACATATACAATATATGCCCTTGATTAATAGATATAGATAGTAATAATAAGGGGGACTATACAAATTTCAAGTGCTAAATTCACTTTAAAAAGGACCTAATTAATTAAGGTATAATTCACATATAGATACTCTCTAGCCCCTTTCTCTGAGCAAAGTGAGAGGGTAATCTACTAAATATACAGCTTGATTGATTATTTAGGTAATTAACCATATGAAAGTATAAATTCTTTATGGAATGAATATATATTCGTTGAAATATATGTAGTCAAACTCAAGATATATAATCCATGGATTGCGGGTCAAAATGCGACTGTCTCACTAATCGTGGCACTACCCGTAACTATGACCAACATTATTTAGGCAACTTGTAACATTTCTCATGTTAGTTACATGCAGTAGTAGTTTGCTGGGAATTCCACTTTAAGTCAACTGTTCTTGTTTAAAATTGGTGTCGCACTAGGAACTACGATATTATGAAAGTTACAGGATGAACCTCCCCTCGCTTGAAATCATTAGGTGTAATTATTTATGCTGAGCTATTGATATATGGAGTAACTAGAATCGAAATTGTTTCTTGAATCTCGTCTCAAGAGTACAGGTAGAACTTCATGCCACCTCGATCATCTTGTCAGCCATTTCGAGCAAACTGTCGGCCATAACATCCATCTTAGTATCGAAGATCTCAATGCACGACTCCTTCTCATAGATTGAGCAGTAAGCACCACGGAAGCTGATTGTTTAAGATAAGTTAGCCCGGAGATCTTCCTCATTCCGTTTGAGAAACAGCAAAACTTACCCAGCTTTAACAGCTGCGCTCACATCCCACATATGTGCCGCCACGAACCACTTTTGATCTTCGGCAGCGAACTTCTCCAGCATGGGCTGGTAAGACCCCATAGAAGGTTTGACCATATCAAGTGGCGACCCCAATGCGGATTCATACTTCATGAACTGGTGGCAACTGACAAGGTTCTCGGCGGGCATTTCAAATCCGGCGCGCTTGAAGTAGCCACCGACTCGTTCTGTGTCGCCCGTGGTCAAGCACCAGATGGTGAAACCATTATTCCTCAATTTTTCCATCATGGCGCGGCAGTCCGGGCGGAGTTCCAGTTTTGAATACGCGTCGTGACATATGTCTCTTTCCTCGTCGGTGGCGAACGACCTCGGGTTTTCGATACCGGACATATATAAGACGCGGTAAAAGAGCGCCTTGAAGACTTCCTTGTATGGCACGCTCCGCTTGGACATGTGGAGCATAAGAGACTCGAGCTCCGCAGCTTGCATCCATGCGAACCCGAATATTTTGGCCGATACTTCGTGTGCTCGCAGTCGTGGACCGAGAACATGTTCGATGGTGTCAAGAAAGTAGTCGAATGACACACATGTGCCGACCACATCGAAAACAGCGTGCTTCTTGGGGCAAATCATGTTGTGGATATAATATTTAGACTGATGATTGAGTAGAATTGAACTGGCAGACTGAAAGGATTATTGGGATGCATTTCGATCTGGGCTGTATCACGGTCATTTATTCAAAGCGGTTCACCAAGCCACGTCCATTAGAATCGTTGTCTGATTGCGGCACATCGCTATCCGATAATCTACATCCCGCCCTTGACCCATTCCGCCCTCGAATCAAGATAGGAATGAGGTTTACTCCGTACATGTGAGCTCCAGGATGCGTAAAGAGTGGCGGTGTGGGCACTCCGGGACTAACCATATCCGGCAATCAGCTATCTTCGGACTGGACCCACTCCGTCTCGGAGCTCACCTTGGGGATTACATTTGTTGATTTCACACATGCTATTCGTGTACAGACTCCGTGCCGCGAACCGAGTATGGAGGGATCCGAAAACATCTTGGCTATTAAATTTGATTGGGTGGATTCTACAAGTAGCATCCATGGTGTATGTATACATCAAAATGCAAGGGTTGAGGACATTCCAGGAAATTGACCTCGAATGCATCGGGACACACAGCAATATAGGGGTTAGAAGATGTTCACCTTCAATCGTGTATGCTTAGAAGCTTGGATAATTTGCACTATCATTCCGTAATATACTGATTCGTATACAAAAAACTCTCATTACATGCATTCTACTCTATAGATCAACATCTAGTAAGTCAACACATAGAATTACTTATAATATATTCAGTTACATAATGTACCTCTCCAAGTAACTACTTAAGGCAAGCGTGGTTTCAAAGACTAACCTGGTAACTCCACTAGTGAGTCAACAGATCTCATAAATACTGTAACCCACCCTCAGTTCCATAAAACGTTCAGCCTGCGAAGACCTTTCTTTGGCTTTGCCACAGGCTCTGGATTCCGATTGGCAATATCGATAAAGGGCTGGATGGGGATATCTTCCAAGGGGACGATCTTTGTCTTCCGAATAAACTTGTACCCAAAATAGAAGATGAGGAAAAGGGGAATATTAATATACGAGGAGACAAATGTTTCGTCATCCCAATTTCCCTTGATAAAAGTTGAGTACCCGCCCGTGATGAGCAGGATGGTGAGCATGAAAAGTGAGGCCCAGCTGATATATGGTTGCAGCGGTGTCGCCCACGGTAGGGACTTCCTAGAGATTCCTTGTTTCTTGCAACCGTAGTAGAAGCGAAGATAGGTGATCAGGATAGTCATCCAGTTGGTCAGAGTCGTGATAGAGACAAGGTCTTGTAGCCAATTAAACACGGTGCTGGCGGTCGAGGAGAGCGACATGTATCCCAGACACATGAATAGACCGTAGAGCGAAATTGCGATGAATGGGACGGAAAATCTGTTAAGTCGAGTGAAGAACTTTGGGGCTTGACCGTTCATCGCCAGCCCAACCAACACTCTGGTCCCGCCGAGCATATTCGAGTTGCCTGAAGACCATGCCGATGTGATAATGACAGCATTGATAATTGATGGCACGACCTTAATTCCAGCCAGAGTAGCTGCAATCACAAAGGGAGACTCAGAAGCTGTCCCGCTAGAATTACTGAGTCTAGGCTCATTGGAGGGGACCACAAGGCCGACCATGAAGATGGAGATGACTGAAAGGAAGAGGTCAGATTTGAAAAGAGGTGTTTCGTTCTCTTTGAGAGTCAACATACCGTAGAAAACCAATATACGAATGAAAATCCGCTTCGCGGCTTGTGGAATAGCCTGCCTTGGCGATTTTGTCTCTGCGGCAGCGACAGTAATTGTTTCAATCCCCGAATAGGCGTAAAGGGCATTATTCAGAGAGGTCCAAACACCGAGAAAGCGACCAAGAGCGCCACCGATCCCAAGGTACTGAACGAAAGGCCCAGGATTCCGCCAGTATTCAAACCCGATGGTTTTATGATCCGGACCGCCACCACAGGTGATTACAAGAGCCTGATTTATGAGTGTTAGTACACGAAAACCCATCAGCCTCGTAGGAATCAAGCCGAGCTTACCATTATATTCACTCCAATTATCAGCAATATCTTCATCATGGAGAAGGCGAATTCGAGTTCTCCATATACTCTCACAAAGAGCAAAGCGGTACACACCATAAGCAACCCAAAGATAGTGATCCAAATCGCACTATTGAGGTCAGACCAGAACTGCACTAGTACAGCAGCGGCCACGATCTCTGCGGGGATAGACACAAGGTAAGAATATACCACATTGTAACCGTTGGCAAACGCTAGTGCCGGGTCAACAAAATATTCCGCGTAGCGGACTATTCCACCAGTCAAAGGAACAAGTGTACCCATCTCGCCTATCGCAAGAGTTACAGTGCCAGCAACACAACCCATGACTAAGTATCCTAGAAAGGCGCCCAGGGGACCAGAACGCGAAATTGCTCGACCAGAACTAAGGAAGAGACCTGTTCCGATAGTACCAGCCAAAGCGATCATTTGAATATGTCTCTGGTGAAGGCCTTGCCTGACAGTCGAAATTTCTTCGAAGTCTCCAACATATTCGTCTTCTGGTTGAATAGGGGACTCTGGGTCTTGTATTGTGGTCTTGACATCTTTGGTAAATTCATGGGATGTATCGGGGGAGTTTTCGTTGCCAAGGAAGGTCTTAATCGTGGACATCTCGATTGACTTGGATGTTCTCTCGTGGGGGAAAAGGGTTATTGAAAATATTGGGCAGTCGTTTCTAGGTAGCGCAGACTGCGACGTGTCTCCGGAGACAATTTAGCTTGAACTTATAGCCAACTTCGTTAGTGGCCATATCACTCAGAGGTCATCCTGCCACGCCACCGATTGTTTATCTGTATAGTCAAGCTACGCGGGTAAATTAGAATTAACACCAGGCGTGGCCTTTAGTATCATTCAAAAACAGTTAGAGCCGGAAGATATGGGATATTGATTGGCAGATGGATGAAGATACAAGATGGCAAGCACCCAATCGGAAGACATATGTATCTTTGACCAAGGTTGACAGGGGGATGTGAGATAGCAGCACGCGGGTGATAAATGGGGTGCAGATCGACTCCGCAAAAATGCAAGGCCGCGAAATCCACTCCGTTAGAGAGCAGCTCCGATAGATAAGCTGTACGGACTTGGAAACAGACACCACCTCGGAGTACGAGGAACAAAAGTACTAACACTGAGTACTCAGAAAATGTATTCGAAACAAATATTAGGCGTCCTTAACGGCGTTTCTATATAGTATTTTACATTTCCTTCGTCTGTTAACAGAAGCATTGTAAGCTCAGGGCATCGTCTCATATAGTTCAGCTGTCCCATCAACCGACCCTATCACCGAGATCCAGCAAAAGGTGTCCGAAGCAACTCAATATTATGCCCAAAGTATTCCTAGTTACCGGGACTTCAAGCGGCTTCGGCCATGATCTGATCCAAGAGATCTTGAATCGTGGAGACATTGCTATTGCGACAGCACGTACTCCAGCGACTTTGGAATTCGATAACACGACCGAGAATAACTATATGGCCTTGAAGCTCGATGTGACAAATACCGACTCCATCAAGGCAGCTTTTGCTGAGGCCATCAAGCGCTTCGGGAGAATTGATGTTGTCGTGAACAATGCGGGCTACGGCCTGACAGGATGCTTCGAAGAATACACCGAAGAACAGATCCGGATGCAAATGGAGGTCAATTTCTTCGGTCTCGTCAATGTTACACGGGAATCAATGGCTACCATGAGAACGCAAAATCCCAGCGGTGGTGTCATCCAGCAGGTTACCAGCGTGGGTGGACAACGTGGAGCCGCGTGCTTCAGCCTGTACGCCGCAAGCAAATGGGCAGTTGAAGGATTTACGGAGTCTATTTCAAAGGAAGTGAAGCCCGAATGGGGTATCAAATTTACCTGTGTCGAACCAGGTGGTTTCAGGTGAGTTGGGTGAATCGATAGTGAAATTCGCTTTTATCTTTGATTTAACAATTCCTATTAGAACCGATTGGGCGGGTCGGTCAATGGCTTTTACCGAACGCCATCCAGAATATGATCACCTCGATGCTAAAGGCATGATGATGGCTCGTCATGGGACTCAGCCTGGTGACCCTCGGAAGGCCGCAAAAGCCTTTTACGATTTAGCCATGATGGAAGACCCACCCTTGAGAATCTTGCTCGGTACAGATGCCTACCCGGCTATCCTAGCAAGGCTCGAGGAGGAGAAACGGAATTTCATGAAGTATGAGGGAATCAGCTTAGGCACCGATGTCGATTAAATGATTGCATTGGAAACTCGACATAGCCCAATGAAAATACGTATCATCCAACATCTTAAGACATACATAGTCAACTCGTAGGGAGGGAACATGGAAGATGGGAGCCTAGCTGGATGGTTTCCCTACTTGACTTGACTATGATACTTATAGCTAGCCACAGGACGGGCGGAGACGATTTCATAGTGCTCATATTACGGACTTGGTACAATAGAGTAAAATTGATCGATATCACTGATAAGACTATTTAAGACTCTTTACAGGTAATCACTACGCCGCAATACATCTCAAAGAAGGGAGGGGGCCTCTGTTACGGATACAAGACTACCAGATAACACTAGGAGCAGCCCAGGTGCGTAATTCCGCCTTTTATTCTTCAATGTTCAATAAATATATCTCATCTTTTCACGCCGAGTATATCACCCCCAAAGGGACCATTCCTTGCCATTTCTAACCTCTCCTTTGTCGTTTCGAACAATCTCGGAACACCAGTATCTTCAAACCCGATCCCATTTTGAACCATCTTAGCAACCCCAAGCGCAGACAAAAACGCCTGAGGCATTCCATGACCATTGAAGCCCGCAAGTACAAACTGGCCATCCTCCCCAGGCACGGCGCCAATGTGAGGCTGGGAGTCCCAGCTGTACCCCATGACCCCGGTCCAGACTTTATCTACCTGGGCCCCGCTGTCTTCCCAGCCATTGAAATGCCGTTGCATATAGCCTTCGTAATGGTTTTTGACTTCCTCGATGAGAACTGAATCGTCCACGTTGTCGTACCATGAACTCAGTACAGGATGGTATCGCAAGTTGGCTCCACCGACAACAATACTACCATCGGCACGGGGGATGAGGTATGAAACAACGTTGTCCTCTTCACGGATTATGTAGGAGTTGTTCAGAAGAGGCGCTCTCTTGTCCTCAGGAACTGAAATATGAGTGCAGAGTCCTTTGCAGGGAACGATGGCTTCGTGGTACTGTGGCAGAAGACCCGCGATATAGGCATTATTGGCATACACGACTTTCCGGGCGACTGTCGTGCCTCGTGGAGTCGTGACGATGAAGCTGCCTGAAGGTTGCCGACTGACGGACGTCACCGGGGTATGAGCCTGGATATTGACCAGACCGGTCTTGAGAATTGAGGCAGTCAGATGGAGTATCAATTTGTACGGCCACAGGGTTGCTGCCGTGAAAGAAGCGCAAGCTTTGGCGCCTTTGACACCCGAGATACCCTCCGCATCCTTACCAAGCACAAAGAAGACATCCTTCATGTAGTCAAGGTCACGAGATATCAACGTGTCGTACATCTCCGTAGCCTTCTGGGCTGTTTCTCCGTTGGTCCATACATCGATAGACCTTGTGAGGCTAAAGTCACAGTCGATTTTCTCTTTTTCAACCAAGGACTTTATGGCGTGGACATGTGCGATTTCAAATTCAGTCACTTCCAAGGCGCGTTCAACTCCTGCTCGGTCGATGAGCCTGGCCATAGGGGTGTACATGTCAGGTCTTAGGTGGCCACCATTGCGTCCTGTCGCGCCCGAACAGACACCCCGTGCTTCCAGTATTGTGATAGATAGTTTCTTGTCACTGGCCTCTCCTTTGGTCAAGTGGTACGCTGTGCTAATTCCTGCATAGCCGGCGCCTATGATGACGACGTCGCTTGATACTGGAAGCTCCTCTGTGGTTCGATGATCGTGCAGTTCGTGAATGTCTCGGTGCCAAAACGGCACAGTGGCATTTTGGACAGGCTGCCGGGGTATACTAGAGGTGTTGTTTGGAGACATGGTCATCGGAGTGAGATTGAGTGTTGCTGTTTGGTCTCGGAGAACTTTCCCAAGTTGATGAGTTAGACTATTTGACGACTTCGGCGTTTAAGTAATGGGTGTAGTTTCAGTCCTTGATCATCATTCGATGAGGATGAGAACGAACTCCGGTTTATCGGTACTCAACGACTGACCCACGCCGTGTAACGCCGTGACCGGCCCTTATCAACCCCGCAACCCCGGGGTAGCCCACTCCGACAGATAAAAAAGCACTCCGAACTGACTCCGGGCTATCTTATCAGTTGAGGCAATTAGCAAGGCATGGTAAAATGGCCTTTTGGTGTATTCGGGACCGAGAGGTTGGAAATATCGGTCTGGTGAGATTGCTTAATACGGAAAAGGTGGATTACTTTGTTCAAGCCAACCATTCTGAGTCCAGTCAACGGTGTTTAGCCAATCCATATCATTGAATGCGATCATCTCAGGATCAATGTCACACTCTCTGCCCGTCGCAACAGGTAGATTCTGTCCTGGGGACTGCTGATCTTGCGAGCCATACTGTCTCTGGGACTGATGTTCGCTCGGCATCTCTTGTGTTTGCATGCCATACGACGACCCCAAAGAATCGAATACAGCGTCAATGATTCTTTGTAAAACCGCCTTGAACTTCTTGCTAAGTTGTGCATTGTTATCCGTAGGCCGTATCCAGTCAAGTAAAGCTCTGAACATAACTAGATTTTGGACGACTTCCGACCGCGAGAATCGAACGCAGTCGTGACCGCGGGTCGTCGATGAAATCTCGCTTTGCGTGGCAGGTGGTACAAGATTACTTGCTCGGAGAAGCTCGACACATAAAATCCCGGCACAGGGCATTCCATATGATACCGCCTAGATGAACATTAGTTTTATTGTACTCCGGATCCAGATAACCGGCTAAGCTCGCCGTCGACTTACAATCCAGTCGAAGGCATGGTGGAATTCATGTAGCTGATCACGGTTAAGCCAGAGAGATATGATAACAGACATTGTCTCTTGGGCGATATCGAACAAGTCTTGGCCATCACTGAATTGCCGCGATACAAGTAGACGCTGGAGAAGGAACTGGCATTGCAATACATCAAGTTGTATGCGGGTGATAACATAGGCTTCCTGGGCACTCCGTTCATGGAATCGTGAACTTGACTGAGGGTGCCATTCAGAGCTCCCCTGATACTGAATATGCGGGGGATATGAGGCAACTATCTTTCCCAGCTGGACTTGTAGGTCTCTGCAAAATGGTTGAAGTTAGCGAAATGTATGCAATATTGCTTCCAAATAACGCACTCTACCTGTGCCTTTGTAAAATTTGAATTGACACTCAGAGTTAGTTCCAAGATTCCTTCCCGGATAGGACTAAGCATCGTTAGTGCTCGAAGCCAGGTTGTTGTGTATATGTGACCATTGGTGTTCCAGCCATTAGAGTCAAGCTTTGCAATAGCCACAGCGAGTCGCTCTCGGCCCCCATATACATCTTCCTCGCATAAATCGAGTGGAAGAGGACATTGACAGTAATGACTACTGAGCATAGGTGGTCGCGCATTGAACAAACTGTGACATTTGTCATGGTAATACATCGACGAAGCAAGTGATGCTCGATGTTGGGAAAATGGCGTAATTTCCTTCGAGGGAGCGAGACGATGCAATCCTGCACTTATAAAAGCGCTGCGGACAGTCCCATAATCGACTCGTACGCGGTCACCTATGATGAAATGAGCTCTAGTTTATAATTCCAGCTGATGTTTTGCGACTCACTCTCATCACTGATTATGATACTTTGTAGTCTGGTGCTATTCTTCATGCAAATAACCATGGTATCACTTATTTCAAAGTTCCCTTCGCAAAGCCTTACACAGGCAGCAGCACACTCTCTCATCTTCTCTGCTGCAGTGTTACGATTCCGCCCATGCTGCTCGGGTAGACCAAATACTGGGTCCCACTCTTGTTTGCATCTGAATGCAATTCCAGCCCAGCTAAAAAGGATCCCGATCATTTCCCATCGTAGATGGGGTCCACCAAACCAGTTGATCCAGGAAGCATGGTCAGAATTGCCTGCGTAATCGCAGTCAGGTGTTGAATGAGGTCTTTTGTGGTTGATAAACAGATCATTTGCCACTCTCAACACTGATTCCCGCGTCCGGGACTCACCTAGCTCACTGGCATATTCCGTCCATACTTGTTTCAAGCATTGCTGGATCATGGTGGGTGACAGCCATACATCATATATGTGGTGGATTCCTTTCAGCAGCATATCACACGTACGAACAGAGGGGAAGTTGAGTAGTGTTCTCACAGCCAAATCCACGCGAGACCTGGCCATTACATCAGGCTCTCGGCCTAACTCGTGGTAATCGGAGTTCGTGGCATCAGCCATCACTGCGCCAAAGCTATCTTGGTTTTCAACAAAGACAGCAGAGAAGCGGGTTGTCTCGTGTTGGCCCAGCTGCTCTTGAAATAACATATTCCGTTTTGATACGCTCGAACGAGCTGTTACCCCCGAACTTGCAGCGGGGCTTGGATCCGCAGGAGGGAGAGAGATTGCTACCCCGACCGAAGATTCACTGGGAAGGTGGAAGGTGCTGGAGACATTTTGAGTCGTTAGTAAGTCTGCGGGCAGGGTTGAGTCGAAGTGTATTGGTGTGTGGGAAGCAGGAGGGCGGCGTTTGGTCATAGGAGCAGGGTGATAAATGCAGTTCAAGTTGCGCAGGACACAACGCGAACACTTCGGACTTTCATGGTCGCAGCGAATCTTGGCCTTGCGGCATGGTTCACAGGCTTGCGGTTGGCCATTATGGCGTTTTCTTGGTTCTGCGAGCATCGTGTCTCCTCGCAAGCGTAGTTCCCCCTTATTGTTTCCTAGCTCGGTGGTCGACGCAAAACGTCAAACATTTCTAAGGGGATAACTTTAAGGCGCAGCTATCGTACAAGCGGCAGAATGAACATGATAGTAGAGGAGATTATCCAGCGAGGGCCAATGAGTGAATTAAGTACGATGGATGCTTTATCGCAGGCCGATAGGGAGATTGATATCTTCAGGAGCCAATCATCTTGCCTGGTCAATATTACCGATTTTACCGATATTACCGGAAGTTGTATCAATACAGCGTTTTCCAAAGTCCAATCCCCAAGGTCGCGTATCAATTTTATGGTACAACATACATATGTACATATAGGTATCGGCTTTGTGTACAAACTCAATACGCATAGTAAGACCCTCGTATCTTCCGAGGGGAAGTGAAGCGCGAACCCCCATAGTCTCCTAAAAGATGGACGATCTGTGTACATACAGTGGCGTTGCATGAGTATTTGCACCCCAGTACCTCGGAAGGCTTAGGCCCCACTTATTTTCTGCCGTTTAAAACTTCTCATTTAGAAACACCTAACTAACTAGCTAGTAACTAGTATGCCAACCTTCGTATTTAATAACCTCTTCCACCCGGTGCGGCATAGTCTCTGCTAAATTTACAAAGTGGTGCACTGTCAGATTCTCCCATGCATACTGCGCTGCATCTACTAGCTCGGCCCAGGTCTCCTGATTATTAGGCATCTCTCGTAACCAAGGCCTTAGCCTTAAGATATCTGCCTTTAATAACGCCCAGAGGTTCTCAATCGGGTTTAAATCAGGTGAATAAGGAGGCCAATCCATAACATTTACACCTATCTCGCGTAGTAGTTCTTGAACTATATACGCAGTGTGTGTAGGTGCGTTATCATGTTGGAAGATAGCATCTTCATTTGCAAGTAAGGTAGGAAGGATACCACGGTAGAGACTATAAATAACCTCTTTTGTAATACCCTTCCGCTCTGCATTTGGATCTCCGTATAGAGGAATAAGGCCAGTTTTCCGTGGAGCACCTGAGAAACAGGCCCAAAACATCTGTTTTGACTGCTTCCCTTTCGAGAGTGTCATTTGAATACCGGAATTCCGATTTTGAAGCTGATCTTTAGGAGGAATAAAAGTCCACTCCTTCCGAGCACCTTGTCCACGTTCAACTGTAGTCTCATCCGACCAAAAGACCCTTTTCCAGTCCTCAGGTGTAAAGTGGCGATAGGTAAGGGCCCAATTAAGACGTTTTGCAGCGTGAATAGGCGTAAGATAGGGTCGATTCATCTTCCGCCATTTTCGAAGGCCCATTTCGTGGGTTAAACGCCAGATTGAGTGCGCTTTAACCTTATAATCGACCTCAGCAAGTAGATCCTCACGCGTAATATCAGGACGGGACTGAATAGCATCATACACACGATCTCGGTCCTCTTCAGTAAGCTTCCTTGGACCACCAAGGCGAGGCATTGAGATACCATGGGAGCGCTTTGTTTCCTGGCGTAAGGTGTAATGAATAGTTGAAAGAGGGATATGAGGGTACGCGTGCTTTTGAATACGTTTAGCACCCCATTTTGCTGAGCGTTTTAGCTCACATATACGCTCGCGAACGTGCGGTGGAAGCTCTGGGCCACGGGCCATAGTAGTAGAGTATAGAGAAAGAGTTAGAAAGGTAAAAAAAAATAGGAAGAAGAGGGGGTAATAGCCTGTATAATACTAGTATACTGCGCGCTGCGCGTAGTCGCGTAGTATACTAGTAGGAATAGGTAGGCGGTATAGAATAGCGGTGAAGTGACGGAAGTACTGGGGTGCAAATACTCATGCAACATGACTGTATGTTGTATACCGAGGAATACAAACCGAGCCCCGAAAAACTTTGAAATCTTCCTTGCAGATTTGAACTCCATCACAACCCCACAGTTGTCATCTTACCTATCAAGCTTACCCCGCAGACGACCATCGTCTAGGAGACTGCCATACATAGCAGCTTCATACAGTCGATTCACCTGCCAGGCATGATGTCCAGCATGGGCAATCAGCCATGCCATCTCATCCACAAACCCGCGTGAGTACGCCCGCCCCATAGCTAGCTGCAGTCTCTCAGACAAGTCATCCTCTATTCCCGGATCCACGGCACCCTTAGTTACATATTGCATTGGTTTGGTACTGAGGCACAGCCAGAGCTCAGCCAATAAGCCATCACTTTCATCGTGTGCGCGTAGGTGCCCCTTTACTTGATCACAGGGGTCGCCGCCGTTACAAGCCCCTTGCAACGGTCTGCTGAAGCCAGTAGTGCGCAGCTCAGGGTCGAAGGCTTCGTCAAAATCCGCCTCGCGCGGTTCCGCAGCTGTCTTCCGCGTCTTGGAGAAGCCAAGCAGGGCACGTCGCAGGAATCGGTGTCTGTCGTTCAAGATATGCCATGTGAACAACGCCGAGCACATGCGTGCCATCGGTTCCATCCAGCGTTCACATAACATCCTGCAACCCGTATGGGCGTATGCGTCATACACCCTCCGTAGCGCTTCCTCCGTGACTATACCTGTCGAAGTCATGTCGGCCGTGTTTAGGAAGGAATTCAGCAACTCCGAGTTGAATAAATCAGAGCCCACATCGATAACGTCTGTCCCGGGGTTGCTAAAGACCAGGTCGCTCATCACTGCCGCGCAATCAAAACCACGCACCATGGCCTCTTTGGCCATACCCACCAAGCTGCTCTCGAGGGTGCATATGATTTGAGCCTCTCGTCTGTCGAGCGTGGCCACTCTATTAGCCAATCCTGATTCATGTGCCTCCTCTAAAGCAACTTTCTTCTTTATGTACTTCATTCCAATCTCGACAGCGGCCATCCTTTCGGCACCGCCTGGAGTATGCAATGCATGGTGATCACCAATCGCCCACTTGATCACGTTTTCGAACTCCGGAAAAACTTTGTGGTAACCGTGCTCATAGTAGAAAGCCATGTCGGAACAACAATTGGAGTAAAGAGTTTCAGCATCATACGCCCCGATCAACATGTTCGTCATTCCGCACCCGAATAACGCATTGGTGGTGGTAAGGGCTTTCGGCCATCTCTCCGCACCAAGAAGCCGGACCACCTTCTCCGAGGCTGGTGCGAGGCCATGACCTTTGCTGGGCAAGATGTGCCCAGAATCATGCTGCTCCTTTCGCCATTTCTGCAGATCCTCGGAGAGATGCATCTCCACAAAACTTTTCTGCAATCCTTCCTTGGGTGAGTCGAGGCACTCAAATAGTCGGGTAATATAACGTATGGCAGTGCTTGCAAGATCCTCGAGTAGCTCCAATCTGCCGTCTTCAATGATGCTGCGTGCCTCTGCATACCCCGTATGGATTGGGAAGCTGGGCTTCTGGGCCACTTCCTCGCCCCAAAAATAGGGTGGGCTTCTATTTGCCGATCGTCGGACGGCTACCTCCATACGACCCAGTGGAAGTGACAACTGGCACTGGTTCTTTTCGTCTTGGTTCGGATCCATGACCGATTGATTGTTTCTGATTGGCGGTGAATGAAAACCGAAAGACTAGTATTAAAAGTATAAAAGGGGCACACTGGTCAACTAGAGGCGATGTTAGGCTTGTTTATATAGCTTGTTTTCGCCTCGGTACTTCTTCGGCGGATGCAGTAGGACCCACGCATCTGCTATACAGTAGCCACATTTGGAATGGGATGCATAAGATACCAATTGATCGACATATAACCACTCTTGGCACAGATCTCCCTTCAAGTGACACAGTATGTTTTTTCAAGTTCAGCTCTGCTGTCCCTTGGACCAAGCGATGAGGTAGTGTTCATCGATCGAATGTACTCCACCTCATGATAAATAGTCCACAGTTCAGACCTAAGTTCATGACCACCACCACGTCAGTGCAGGAAATACTGGTAATCTTAGAGTGATTGAACCCCAATTGGGGGCTTCCCCTAATCTCCGTGGTAACATAACATTCGGTGGCGTATGTGCCTGTTTAAGACGGGCAATGGGTGATAATGGTTCCATATGGCCCCGAGCAGTTGAAGAAGGGGTTCATTCAAAGGCTGAACGAAGGGAATGGTAGAAACCTATGCTGTGATACCCACATGAAAAATCAAATTCAGATACGCTACATAGAGAATCCTACCCTGGATCCATGTGCTGGGATGCTAAAACATTCAGCATAAAATCAAGCCGATGTATTGCACGGCATATAGAACCATTCACAGTTACATTTTGGGGAATAAATCCGCAACGCCATTCTAAATTACTGCTATATAATAAACTATTGTGTAGCTGTCATACTAAATTAGATAGAGCGCTCCAATGGGTTTCATTCGTGCCTACCAGGTCAAGCTCCTAATCTGATCGGAGGAAGCGAGGCTCCTCCGACCCGACGTGGAAGATGACGACTTGGAGCATTCATCGACGATAGGCGTAATCAGTAATTGTATTGCTAGACTACGATTAGCCCAGCATTAGCTATAATGAACTTAGTTCATTTTAGCAGCACCGGCGATCTGAAAAAGAGGAATCAGGGGAAAATCCGAGATGTCCGACAGCCCCACAGATGAAGTGGACAGTGGACAGTCGTGAAGAGTCAACTCCATAGTTTCTTGATGAAATATAAACAAAAATAGAGACTAGCTACTCCATATATACATACTTCTGGTTTTCTCCGTGCTCCATACCAAGTTCCACTATGAAAGAGGAAATATTCTTTGGCGTTGGGGTCGGACCCCGAGAGATCCGAATACGACCAGCTAGCCGAATGAGGAAGATTCAGCGCTTTATTGGGAAAAAGGGCTTCAGGTTTAATTATTAGCTTGACTAGCCTCTTTTCTAAGGCTATATTATGTTGGTCGACATATATCTTAATGTTTTTCTATTCTTCATCTCAACTTCACCTCCAAAATAACCAAACATGACCCCCCGTTCATTACCCCTGAACGGGACCAACCAAACGTCAATGAAAGACACCCTCAGACACAGGAACATCAATGGCTCTCAAAC